TTAGCTTATAACTTACTATAAGCCTAGCTTATAATATTATAAGCTACCTAAGTATATATATATACTTATTTAGTAATATATAGAACTTAGCTTATTAGTTATTAAGTAATACTTCTTTATATTAATTAAGCCTAATATATATTAAATCTACTATTAAGAAATATAATACTTTAATAAATATTTAGTATATACTCTATATGAACTGCTAATAATAAACTTAAGCATGGCTTAGTTTAATATAGTTAGACCTAACCGTTACATATATATATTACCTTTTAAAAGCTAAAGTTAAATAGGATTTTTTAGTATATTAGCTTAATATACTTTGTAAAGGCATTATAAGCTTTAGGTATTAATTAATTAGTTTTTCTAGCTTCCAGTTTGCATTGGCCGTTGTATACTCTCCTTGCATGGAGACAGTGGGCATGGTGTCATTTAAACAAGTACTGAAGGATATAGAGACTCAGTTGTGTGGCAAAATTCCTATTCGGCACTTTTTCGACCTCATTGGAGGTTCAGGCACCGGCGGCTTGCTCGTAATTGGCATAGGTTTAGGAAACTGGGATGTAGGTCAATCGGCTACTCGCCTACTCGACTATCAAGTCAAATACCATACGCAAATGACCTTTACGAAGGCTATCAAAGAGACATTTGGGGAGGATGTTGCGAGCCAGAGGATAGTTGGAAGTCGGGTAAGTACTAAAAGGGTAACATATAACGGGAGACTAGTTTTGCTTAACTTCCATGGTCAAAATAGGCACATGTATCCGAAAGCCCCACGAGGGTTTTTGTGACAGCAACGTTGTACCAGGCTTGGGGCGATGTTCAGGGACCAACCATCATAACTAATTACATACGACCGGAGGGGCAAGGTAAGCTGTAGAATTCACTCCATGTCGCTGAAACTGATCTAACAAACTGACTTCCAGAATCAAAACTTGTTTCCTACGCATATGAAACAGGACATAGGGACGGGCAGAACTTTACAATCCAGGATGCGGCAAAGGCAACTAGCCTACCCCCATCTTCTTACGACCCCTTATCTTGCCGAGGTGTTTTATATTTGGACGGTGGGGTATGTTGTAATAATCCTGCGGAGATGGCAATGGCCGAGGCAGCGATTATGTGGCCTTTAGACGGGATTACTACCTCGCACTTGCTGCTGTCAATTGGTAATGGTTGGGCCCAAGATGCGGACGATACAGAAGATGATTCCAGCAGAGACAGCTCTTGGTGAAAACTGACGATGGATCAACTAACCCAATACTTCACAACACGACCGACAAAACTTCAAAGGCGGCTGGATCAGAACAGACTGTCAGAGAAGCCTTGGAAGGAAGCTTTCAGTCTCATCAGTAAGATGCACCCCACCCGATGTGTACGATCGAATCCGAAGATATCAGGGAACCAAACGCTCGAAGACATAGCAGCAAAGTATTTGTCACAATACTCTACTCGCCTTGATATTTCCAGGCTCTGCCATTCACTCCTGGCGACGACATTTTGCTTCGATGCAACCGAAAGGCACCGCCAACTTGGAAATGGACGTTGTTTGATAAAGGGTAAGTAAGAATCTAACGAAATAATGACGATCTATGTTGTCTAACATTAGATAGGAGAAATTCTCTGTCGCTTTCCACAAGGTGCAGATATAACTAAGAGCTTAGGTCGCGTCTTGGAACCTTTGTCCAATCCCCGCATCGAGCTGATCGCCCCTGGGCATGAGCATAAAAGATGGGGTTTTGATGCAGATATGATTTCACGCATGAAGAGGGATGGACTGTTCGATATCCCCATCGATTTTGAGATTTCAACTTCTCAATGGAGAATTGACCTGGTGTTTGTTACTGCTGACTCTAAAGAGGAGCCAATTGGTTTGAGCCTTTTCCCCTATGATATATAATTATGAGTTACTATAGTAATAATATGCATTTCCACAACTGTATCACCTACCATTTCCTATAATACCATCACAACCCCTCGTCGGCATTCTAGACCTATGTTAGATCAACCGTGAGAGGAAGAGTATTCCAGATGGCGCGCAGACGCTGGTAGCGGTACTCCGCTGTACTCTCCGTTTTAACGAGCCATGGAGATGAACTTAGGTCCCGTGCCTCCCGCTTCCGAATACACCGATGAGATAATACATCGTGTGGTATTCCATAGCCGGGATATGTCAATTTAGGGCTCGTCTCTGTCACGTATATCAGAAATATCGTTTCAACAGCATATGTTGATCCTACCTCAGCACCGAACCTATGGCCAATCTATAGGCGGAAATTCACATAAGATCAATACTCCGAGCATCTCCAATTGGCTAATCAATACGACATCTCTGCATACCATTGCGATATTGGGTTTCATTAGTGAGAAAATTAATTCTAAGCATGAATTGTCGATAAGCCCATGGCCAATCAGAGCACGGGAGCTCGGATATTCGGCAAGTGAGTTTGCATGCACGGTCACCAGATTAACGGCTAAAAAGTGCCGAAAGCTAGATCTCGTGGCTCGGGAGATCGCTTGTTCTGGAAGGTCGCGATGAGGCTTGATAAGATGCACTTCTGCAGGTAATCTTTCTGATACAGGATGTACCGAAATGAATAGCACGGGGGATTCTGAATTTAAATATTTACGAGGCGGTTAAAACTTTGTCTTATGACGAGTATGTCTGTCTGCCTTGTGATCCTCCTGGTCAATGTAAGCAAGACAATGCCTTGTTTCACGGTACCGGGATGACCTAGAGATCGACAGTACCCACTACCCATTGTCGCCTGACTCCCGCGCTGTATTGGCTAATCCTACCTCCGGATCATCAGGAACCTTTGGCATTAACAAAAGATCTCCCCCTTTAATCAGGAAGGTGGCATTAATCTTCCAAGCGATAAGACAATTTGTCACTTTTACTCGTATAGTAGAACATATGGAATGCGGGCTATTCCGTGATATAGTGGCGCCCGATCGAGACCGCCCAGATCTATATATATGCTGTCTCATCCTCCCGTCTTGGCACTTTTTCTCCCGCTCAACCACGTTTCTTCTATTCAAGTTTGATACTATCGGTCATCATGAAGACAACTTTGTTGAACGTCCTCACGGCGCTTGCCCTCGTCGGCCAAGGCAGCTGTACACCTGCAGCCAGCCTCGACAAGAGGTATCTGCAAAAAGAGGCCGGTATCAAGTACAAGGTCTTTGAGCACGCTGCCACCGGATCCAAGACCAAGATTGTCTCCAACTCTGGAATCTGCGAGACGACGCCAGGCGTGAACCAGCACTCCGGCTATTTCTCTGTTGGTAAGTACCTCATTAATTCCTTGTACAAATCTTCTTACGGACGATTTCTTCAGGTGATAATATGAACATGTTCTTCTGGTTTTTCGAGTCCCGCAAGAACGCCAAAACAGCTCCACTCGCCCTCTGGCTCAATGGTGGTCCGGGCTGCAGTTCCATGATCGGCTTGTTTCAGGAAAATGGACCATGCACCTTTAACAACGGAGGGTCTAAGCCAACTCTGAACCCCAACTCTTGGAACACATTTGCCAACATGGTAATTCCGGCCTCCTCTCTATAATAGCAATGAACTAACAGTCAAAGCTGTATGTTGATCAACCTATTGCCACCGGTTTCAGCTACGGCACCGATGACGCTGTATCCACTCTTGCAGCTGCCCCTCGAGTCTGGAACCTTCTTCAGGCCTTCTACGCTCAGTTTCCTGAATACGAGAACCGTGACTTTGGTCTTTTTACTGAGTCCTATGGTGGACACTATGGTCCTGAGTTTGCGTACTACTTTGAGCAGCAGAACGCGGCTATTGACGCTGGAAAGATCAAGGGCGAGAAGATTAACCTCGTAGCTCTTGGTATTAACAACGGCTGGATTGATCCCGGTAAGCTTTCTCACACGCCTTGAGATTTAGTTTCAGTGCTGATATGTGATATAGGCAACCAGTACAGAGATTACATCGACTATGCCGCCAACAACACCTACCGCAAGCTCATCACACCAACTCAGTACAGCAAGTACCTCAACACATACAACCAAAAGTGTGTCCCTGCATTTGCCAAATGTCCCGGTCTCACAGGTAACGATGCTGCGTGTGGCAACGCAGATGATGTCTGCAGCTCAGCTATTGAACGCCCGCTGGAGAATCTGGCAGACTTTGATGTCTACGATATCCGGGCTTCAAGCAATGATCCTTTCCCTCCTGCGACTTACTCTACCTATCTCACATCTGCGTCTGTGATGAAGGCGATTGGTGCGCAGTCTGATTATCAGGAGTGTGGTGATGAGTCTTATAACAAGTTTATCGCGAGTGGTGATAGTATGTTTTCTGCCTATATACATGAATGCGACTAACAAACCTTGCAGGGGGGCGGTCATTCTTACCGACACTTTCGCAGGTCATTGACTCCAAGATCCAAGTTCTTATCTGGGCCGGCGATGCTGGTAAGTCACCTCCATTCCCGCCTTGATACCTCAAATCTAACAGCACCTAGACTGGATCTGCAACTGGATGGGTAACTACAGAGCCCTCAACTCAATCGCGCCGCAATCATTCGTCTCAGCTCCCCTCAAGTCATTCACTGTTGGTGGAAAGAAGTATGGTGAATTCAAGACCTCTGGAAACTTGAGCTGGCTGCGAGTGTACGGCGCTGGTCACGAAGTCCCGGCATACCAGCCCGAGGCTGCGCTGGCGGCGTTCGTTGCGACCATGTCCAAGAAGCCTATCTCATCTACGTGATTGATAGACTGTTAACAATTTATGTCAGATATCATCAATTGAGTATTTCACTATAGCAGTGATTAAAGAAGACGATGGGCTGTGTTCGAGAAATGTTCTCTCCATGCTGTAAAATCTATGCTATAACCAGAATTTATCACGGCCGTATAAGACCCCATTCGAGCGCCGCATTCAAAGCAGTTTGTCGCAGCTCTAGTTGTTCTTCTCTCGTCGGAGGAACTGGCTCTACTCCTCGCCTCTCTCTAGACTCTCGGGTCTCACATAAAACTGGCCCTTCGCTGTTGTCATGCGAAATCGTATAGGAGCGAACCTCGGCATTAGCCCAATCCGTACCTGCTGATGTTAGGACGTAGACAGCCACGTCTGATTGGCAACAACATACCATCAGGGTTAACAGAGTTCACCCAATCGTCGGTAAAGAAATGCAAGAAGCAACCATGAGTAACAACCACGATTTCTGACTCGGGTCTTTCGCTCAGCCATTGCCGTGCGGCCCGGGCCCTCTCCAAGATGCTGCCAATAGCTGGAGCCCACTTGCCCTCCTAAGCTATAATTAGCTCTTAGATTGATCAAACATGACTAAAGGTTGAATTGCATACCTTGACTTCCCAACCCGGCTCGACCACACTGAAATCCACGGGCTGTTGTTGGAATTCAGCCTTTATCACAGAGAGATCACTACCCGTGTCGCAGTTCATGTCGCTGACTTCCTGAACTTCAGGCAGGGCCACAATATGTAAACCGCGCTCCAGCTGAGCGGGAAACGCTAGCAGGGTCGTTTGGAGAGTTCTTCGCAGGGGAGATGACACGATGAGGTCAACATTGGCAAGCTCAGGATGCTTAGAGATCAGGCTTCCAGCTTGCTCTTGTCCCAGAGGCGTGAGGTCGGTGTCAGGCAGAACGTTGTTCGCTTCGCCAAGGTTATGAACGGCTTGGCCGTGACGGACGAGATGAATAACTTTTGGCATGTTTTCTGTCTCAAAGTGATTGAATGCTGTTAAATGGGTTTTACATAGTGTTTGAGATTCAGCTTCAGTCCGCTGCTCCATTTATACAAGGAAGCTCAATAAGCTTCGGAAGTGGGCAGTGACCGACCGCGTCCGCGGGCCCCGTTTATCCAGACTAACCGCCTCGGACTCGGATCCAGCCTTGCAAGGGCTATTTTAATTGCGCATTCTCTATTTTTATACTAGAGCTTATCGATAACTTACTGCGTCATTATTGCTACCCTATTGCTATTCAAGAGACCGGCGAGAAGGGCCTGCTGGCCTCAAAGTCAAACTTTAGTACCACTGCCGCGATGTGACGACATACAGGACGGGTCGTCATGCCAAGAGTGGTATTTTAACCAACTATCTGTACATATCACTTGGGTGGATAGTGAATCACTGCCTGATGTAGTATGGAACTGGATATTATTTTAGTCCTTCCAAGAGGACATCGGCACAGCTGGCTTCACAAGTATTATTTTCTATCTAATCCTTAAAACGCCAAATCACCATTCATCATTCTTTGAAACAGTATGGCACCCAATTCCTCCAATATAATCCCTCGCAGCAGTCTCGTTATCCACAATCTTGAGGTTACTACCCGCCCGCTTCGTCTCCATCTCCAAAACACCCACGGGGTCTATGACAACCACGGTCCTCCCATCAAGCAGCAACCGCGTAATATCCGCCTGGATAATCTTCTGCGCCACCGCATTAAACGAAAACACATCGCGGAATGAAAACACCACCGCGCACACGAACCGGCTCCGTCCAGACCCGGGATCGTTGGGGTTCGGATCGCCGAGTTCTCGTGTGATGGCGCGTGTTAAGCGCTCTGAACCGCCGAAGCGGACTACACCGCGGAGACTGAAGATGATTACTTCTTTATTGCAGTTTGTGTGGTGTGGCTCGTTGTCGCCGGGGAGGATTGTCGCGACGGATACGCGCACCGTCGCTTGGGCGATCTGGCTGACGTCCATCATGTGAAGACCCATGTCGCTGGATAACTGCTCGCAGATGGCGACGCCGCGTACGCTATTCCCCCGTGAGTCAAGCTTGGGTGAAAATACAGCGATGCCCATTTGACCCGGCAGAGCACCGATGATACCACCAGCAACTCCACTCTTGGCGGGGATGCCAATCCGCGATACCCAGTCGCCTGCAGCATCGTACATGCCGCAAGTCGTCATGACGGAGAGGATCTGCCGCACGCTGTTCTGAGGAATGATCTTTTCTCCCGTCGCAGGGTGACAGCCCGCGTTGCAGAGCGTAGCAGCCATGGTGGCCAGGTCTCGAACGTTGACGTTAATGGCGCATTGGCGGATATATCCCTGCACGATCTGCTGTGCATCGCCGGTGATGATACCAGCTGCTTTGAGCATGTAACCGATTCCCATGTTGCGGTTCGCATCGCGCAGCTCAGCCTCGTAAACTTCTTCGCAGACGCGCAATTGACGACCTGCTAGCTTCGACATGGCTTTGAGGATGCGGTCTGATCTCTGCTCTGCTGTCCAGTCTGGTCCGCCGATGAGAGAATGCGCTGTGATGGCTCCGGCGTTGATCATAGGATTCATGGGTCTGTTGCTCCCGCGCTCCAGCGACAAACTGTTGAACGCGTCTCCAGAGGGTTCCACGCCAATCTTCTCCAGCACCTTATCCAACCCCGCATCTTCAATCGCGAGCGCATACACGAACGCCTTTGAAATAGACTGCATCGAAAACTCAACATCGTCATCGCCAGCAGAGTAAATCTGGCCATCCACCATCGCCAGCGCCACAGCTATCTTGGACGTGTCCGCCTTTGCCAGCGTCTCGATGTAACTGGCGGGCTTGCCATCTTCTATGGGCCGTGCATTCTCCAGCACGCGGTTGAGGTAGTCGGGAATAGGTGACTTCATCGGACGGAAGGGTATGGGCTTGAGCTGCTTTGATGGAGGAGGAGAAAAATCAGTTCTCACCGCTGAAGGCATTATGTGACCGGTCTCGTGGGTGATGTCGTAAGCCAAGCTATTTGAACCAAGCTGAACGAAAACGGATCTGTCCAATCACGAGGGAGATGCTGTAGTGAAACTTTGTCAGAGACTAGTCGAAATCGAGAATGTAGAAGATCGTAGAAAGAATGACTATAAATTATTGTATCTGTAGGAAAAAGAAGAATGGTTATATAGACTAGGACGAGAAATGAGCAATTGGTAAAATTTCATCACATGAGTTCAGACTTTTTCACGCACAAAAGTATACTGTATGTAAAATTTACATAACGATAACTATACCGAGTCCATCGCGCAATAACAACGTGGTCCGTCGTAGCCGTGACCAACAACACTAAAAAGCGTATTACCATTTTACATAATAGGCTTTCTCGGTAAGGCGAGAATGAAAACTCTCTCATCGGTGAGAATCGGTGAGCGCCTGCATGGTGAGTGCGGGGAGACGCGTATCTCATTCGTTGGATCTGGTGTCAAAAAAACAGGACTGCCGATGACGGGATCACGGGTGTTTTTGGGAGGTGATGCTTGTATTTTTTAGTCGAGGGTGATCTTGTGCGCGCTAGTTGATATCGAGGGGGCCATTCCGTGCTGGGGCTGTGAGACATGGCTAAACCTCTTTGGAGAGATGATTTCATTATCGATACGTCTAGAGCTATCTTAGCCCAGTAGACTTTTACAGTGAGAGTATAGCGTGAGACGACACGACGACTGGCTCTCAAAAGCGTTAATCTCATCAAACCCTCCCTCGAGAAAAAGTCAAGTCAGATCAGATCAGATTCTTACTCTGCGGGGTAAAGCATGGCCAATGCTTCTTCCAGAGTCTAGAACCCCTGCTGAGCCAACGTCACCAAAAACAAGCTTTGTTTAGAGTTTCGATCCCTGCCTTGAGCCCCTGTAAATGTGTCTCATCACAGCGTCTTCATTGGACATCAGCTGCGCCACCACCGCAAACACCAGCGTCACGTTATTACGATCCCAGCCCCTTTCTGTCCTTATTTCTTGGCTCTCCCTGCTCTATTTACACTTTTATTTTATTTAAGCTTATTCAGTTTTGAGTATCATCTGTTTTGCTTGTTTGTTACTTGACTCGTGGTAATGGCGAGCAATATCCTCCCGGGCCATGGCTCTGAATCAACCCCGCTTCTGCCGCAGATCTCAAGTCACATTGCTCACGAGGGAGAAAGCGGGAGAAGCGGTTTCCACCCTCGTCATTTCCTCGCTGTTCTCTGGCGAAGTTCCTGCACCGCGTCGAAATGGGTAAACATCCTCTGGCCGTTCGTCCCCATCGCTATCATCCTTCAATTCTTTCCTGGTCTGCACCTCTGGAAGTTTGCTACCGCGTACATCGCTGTCATTCCAACTGCCAATCTGCTTGGTTTCGCTGGACAGGAGTTTGCGCGGAAATTGCCCAAGGTAGCTGGTATCCTCATCGAGACAACGTTTGGATCTATCATTGAGATTATCCTCTTCATTGTTCTGCTTTCGAAGCATGAGGTCAACTCTCCTGAAGATAACGGCGATGAAGGCAATCTCATTCCCATCATCCAAGCCGCCATCCTCGGCAGTATCTTGACCAACCTTCTTCTCTGTCTCGGCCTCTGTTTCTTCGTTGGTGGCCTTAAGCAAGCCAGCCAAAAGTTCCACGCCATTGTCTCAGAAGTCGGCACTGGACTTCTTCTCGTCGCAGCATTTGGTCTCCTCATCCCCAGCGCATTCTACTCCGCCCTCAAAGCCGAGGTTGTGCCCGACTTTCCAGGCTTCCGAGTTTTGCATGAGAAGTTCACAGAGGGTAAACTGCAAGACGATGTACTTCGCATCAGTCAAGCCACATCTATTGCACTGATCATCGCGTTTTTCTTCTACATTTGGTATCAGGCTAGTAGCCAGCATAGTATCTTCGATGAGGTTATTGAGATGGATGAGCACCGAGATGCTGATCGCGAGGCTGATATGGAGAAGCCCAAGTTTACCATGACCGAGGCTATTATTGCTATATTGATTGCTCTTGCTTTTGTGACAGCTCTTCTCATCTTCCTTGTTGAGAAGATCGAGCATGTTGTTGAGAGTGGAGTCCCTGATCAGTTTTTGGGTCTCATTCTTTTGCCCTTTGTGGAGAAGGCAGCTGAACACTTGACAGCTATTGACGAAGCATATGGTAAGTACAACCCTTCACTCGTAAATGCATCAACTAAAGAGCCCCCAGATGGCGTCATCAACGTCGCCTTATATCACTGCCTGGGACCATCTATCCAAACAGCCCTCTTCAACGGTCCCCTCGTCGTTCTCGTAGGCTGGGTCATCGGAAAACCCATGGACCTGAACTTTGAGATCTTCATGATTGTTCTTCTCGTCTTGTCCATTTTGGTGGTTGGAAACTTCCTCCGCGATGGCGAGTCCAACTGGCTTGAGGGTGCACTCCTTGTGGTAAGTCAGCCCCCTCATGTGAACATTCGTAGGTGCTGACAGTTGTAGGTCATTTATGCTATTATTGCTATCGCATGCTGGTACTATCCAAACCCTGACGTGGCTACTTCCAATGGCATCGAAGGCTCCGAGATGGTCAACGTTACCATGAGTGTTGACACTCTGCGTCAGCTGCAGAAGCTTATCAATGCACAGCTGCCACAGATTTAAACTGGTGAGTTTATGTTGATGTAAGCTTAGGTTGCTTGAGAACTTGCGAGAGGGTGAAGATGGAAAGTTGTCAGTGTCCGGGGAGCTGCCTGGTGAGGGCTTCGTTGTGTTGTTTTTTACGTGTTGGATGAACATTTCAAATTTATCATGTGCTGCGGAGGTATTGAGTTGACTGAGCGAGCCTTTTATGTTAAGAGCATTGTCTACAGTATGTTGCCCATAGCCTAGCTGTCCGAACTACTGTTTCTCAATCATCAAAACTTGACTATCATAATCCCCCTCAAACGTCAACTGAATGCCCATGTTCATCAGCGTTGAACCAGAAACCGTCTGTTTATTGTCCACCCTGTACTTGGCACTTGCATCTAATCCTTGAAGTCTGAACCATGGCCAAGAATTATTGATAGTCGCCCTCGTCTGGAATGCAAAAAGCACAACTTTCTTGCCATCCTCTGAGATGAACTGTCCAGCTGGGTAGTTTGTTTCCTCAGGTAGAGCAAGTCTGTAAAAGTCTCCAGTGATGACGATCGGGTTGATCTTCTCAGAGAGCTTGATAAGACCAGGAATTTGATCCCTCTCTTCGGGCTCCAGATCGCTTGGGTCGAGTTCGACACCAAAGGAGCCACCCATCATGGCAACATGGGCTCTGAACTTGACAGACGTGATTCTCTGGGTGTTTCCATTAGGGACATGTGACAGATGAGCTCCCATAGCAGATGGAGGATAAGCCAGTGACGTGCCGAATTGGATAGCGATACGCTCAACTGCATCTGTATCATCCGACGTCCAAATCTGGGGGAACCACTGGAGAACACCGGGGTCAAATCGACCGCCACCCGAAGCACATCCTTCCCACAGAACGTCAGGGAAGCGACTCGTCAAAGTCTCAAAGACGTGATAGAGACCCAGCATATACTTGTAGTTAAGAGTAGGATCAGGTGTCTCGTGGATTCCACGGTTGTTATCCCACTTCACATAGGAAATCGGTGATTCGCGGAGAATCTTGGAAACTGAGTCGATGATGAACTCTTGGACCTCGGGCAGAGCTACGTTGAGAACCAATTGGTTACGCGTCTCGGTTCGGGGATATGAGCCTGCGTGAATCGCCCAGTCGGGATGTTTGTCGTACAAGTCTGATTTGGGGTTCACCATTTCGGGCTCGAACCAGATACCGAACTTTAGATCATCGGAGGCATTAGCAATTCTTAGGTCGGTGACGTTCTCAACGAGAGGAGTCAATCCGTCAGGGAAACGTTCCTTGTTAGGCTGCCAGTCTCCAAGACCAGCTGAATCGTTAACTCGCGGGTACTTGTTACCGAACCAGCCATCATCCATGACGAACAGTTTAATACCGAGGTCAGCAGATTGTTTGGCGATCTTCTCAATGGCGGTCTCGTTAATTTCAAAACCCAAGCCCTCCCAGCTGTTGAGAAGAACAGGGCGTGTTTCTTCTGCGTATTTACTCTTCATCAAATGCTTTCTGTACAGGCGGTGGAATTGTCTAGACATGCCGCCGACGCCTTTATTTGAGAAGACGGAGACGACCTCGGGGGTGGTGAAGGTCTGACCGGGCTTTAGGGGCCATGAGAAGTCGAGAGGGTTGAGACCGAGAAGGGCGCGGGTGAGTCCTTGCGAACTCTTCTCGACGTCAACGGCGAAGGAGCCGGTGTACACCAGGGAGAATCCCCAAGCTTCGCCTTGTGTCTCAGTAGTAGTTGACGACACAAGAGCGAGGAACGGGTTGTGAAGATGAGAGGAATATCCAGTAGAGCTTTGGAATCTGTAACACCGTTAGCACTCTGCGTTATTATCTCACAGAAATAATACTTACCCTTGTGTTCCAAAGTCTACCTTTCGACGCACACGCATACCCTCACGCGCCCAATCACCTCGGATCTCAATAAGATCCAGATCATCCTGCTGCAAATCAACACTCCAACTGGAAACCTTCCTCAAATCAACCGTCGCATTCCCCCGGTTCGTGATATTCACACTCCTTACAATAGCATCATACTTCGGAAATATCGAATACGACAGATCAACAGCAATAGAGCTATAATTGTCATACATCCTGACCACCAAAGTCGACACATCATCAGCCTCGCCAAACGTCGACGGAAGACCAGGTAGCCCAGGTTTTCCTTGCACAACCTCGTGAGACTCGTAGCGAAAGTCAGTGACGGTCGTGCCGCTGGCTTGCTGGAGCTGGAACGCTGGGACGCGGAAGTCTCCTCTTCCATGGTCGGGGAATTCGCGGCGGACGCGGCCGATTAAATTGACCCAGCCTTGAATGGGGCCGATTTCAGCTGTGATTCCATCTTCGGCGACGGGGCCGCCGTAATGGTCGTTTATGAGGTCTCCGGTGGTGTTGTCGACGTGGAAGCGGTATGAGACGTTATCGCCGTTGAGGGCGAAAGACGTGCCGTCGACGTGGATTGCTGCAGACATGTTAATATTGCTGAATATGAGAGAAGTGAAGATGAAGACTCACGATTTGAACTCTCCGCGACAGCCGAGATGGTCTGACAGAATAGCACTGCCGTCGTCGCAATGCCCTTCAATGTAACAAACACCATCTTGACCCTGGCAAAAGTTGTTTAAACGAAAGTCAAAACCAAGTGGCCATCCGCGGGATCCGACGTCTTTATAAATCCTCAAAAACAGATCGTCAGTGTAAAGGCCAACCACCCGGAAAATTCGAGAAGCCTGATATGCAGCAACTCGTGATGATCTTGAAACGGGCCGATCTTGAATTGGAGTTTGTGGGGGAGAGGTTGGACTTGATGATGGTGGACTACCGAAAGATACCCCTTCGAGTCAAGATCGTCATCGTTTATGCGGAGGATCAGCCGAGTTTCCCCAGAATTGGAGATCGTTGGGTGCATAAACTTGGTTATGGCGTTGAGTTTATCCGCGCGAATGATATACCTTGACTCTAAAGCATTTCGGCAATTACTTTTGGGTGGAGGGACGGAGAATTTCAATCCGTTGGGGCATTTATCGAGTCTCTTTTACATGATCTTGAAAGCAAAGTTATAGGTGAAGGCCGGATAATTATTCACCCTGACTAATATCCATCCAGGTCCCAACATGATTGGTCCACAATCGAGATGAGGGGAATCAATGACACTGTGAATGGGTTCACAGTCATCGCGAGTTTATTCTCTCAAGCCTCAAACCAGCAGAATATTCATATAATTCAACATGAACCTTAAAAACATAATAATTCTTCCGTTCCAAGACTCCTCAACGCAATGGGACATCCAAATAGAGGAAGGAGTAGTGACCTCCATGAAACCAGCCGCCAACAAAACAACACCAAGCGTCATGCTTCCTTCACTCTGCCATCCTCATATTCATCTCGACAAACCATATCTTCTCACCTGCAACCACCCAAAATCCCCAAACCACCCAGATTATTCTGATCTCCCTCCCAAAACAGGAGGATTTCAGGAAGCCTTGGCCAATACAGCTGAAGCAAAGAAACGCTACACCAAGGAGGACTTGTACTTACGAGGCTCTCAGCTTATAGCGACAAGCTACAAACAGGGTGTCACATTCATGAGAGCTTTCGTTGAGGTTGATGACGTCACTGAGCTCAAGACTCTGGAGGTGGGAATCCGGCTGAAGAAGGAATTCGCGGACTTTTTGACAGTACAAATATGCGCCTTTGCACAGGACCCTATATTCTCGACGGATAAGGGAGAGGCTAACCGAGCAATGCTTGAGAAGGCGCTTGAGCAGTTCGGTTCGGATGTTGATGTTATTGGAACTACGCCGTATGTGGAATCTGATCTGGAAGCGCAGAATCAGAATATTCGGTGGGCTATTGAGACGGCATTGAAACATGGCAAGCATCTCGACTTTCACATTGAGTTTAGCCTGAAAGGCGACGGAACCCACATGTCTGTTTTCTATCACGTCATTGAAGAGCTCGAGCGTCTCAAATGGCCTACAGATCCCGGCGCTCCGACTGTTGTGTTTGGGCATGCGACGAGACTTACTCTAGCTACTCATGCTGATCTCGTCAGACTCTCAGAGAAGCTGAGAGAGACAAAGTTACCGATCCACTTCGTCGGATTACCAACTAGCGATCTGTACATGATGGGCAGACATGGACCCAATGATTCCGAACAAAGCCAACCACTCAGTCGACCATGCGGGACAATCATGGTCCCCAAGCTAATCAGAGACTACGGAATCAACGCGTGCCTATCGGTCAACAACGTCGGAAATCCATTCACTCCCCACGGCGATGGCGATCCTCTTAAGATAGCAAGCTTGGGCGTTGGCTTATTCCACGCTGGAACGGTCGATGATGCAAAGATTCTTTACGAGGCCATCAGCACACGAGCAATGGACGCGTTAAACCCCCGCGCAGAAGGACATCATGACAGGTTCACATTGGCGGAGTTTTACCAGACAATGCCGATGCTTTTGTTCAAGAATGAAGAGAACATGGAAATCGCATCGGAACTTGGGAGCATCAAGGTCCCAGCGAGGCAAAGGCTAAGCATTCAGGACATTGTTTGGGACCCTCCGGAGACACAACTTAGAAGCATCGTTGAATAGGCTATATACAATAGAATATACTCAAGACTAGATCTTGTCCACTATCTACGCAACTCTACATAAAGGACCATCTGGTTTCGCAACCCATTCCTCAGACCCAACACAAGTAGGACAGTAGAAAATATGACAAGGATCATACTTCCTCTTCGTCTTAAGGTGCTCACCATACAAACTCCCGTAAAACGATTTCTTCCAATCAGGGTCATTGCGATCGCCCTCATTCATGTAGCCACCAGTATCAGGAGCCAACTTCTTCGCCGCAGCACCTTTGACAAACGTCACATCGTCATTCGCTGCCTTGCGCTCAGTGATGTTTCCGGTACGAGAAATATCCGTGCCCGAGACGAGAACGTAATGTGATTTTCGCCACGCGGGGAGCAGTCCACTCGTCTTGTCTGAAGCGTCCTTGAATACTTGGCCTCCGGACGTGAGAAGAACAACACTTGTGCCGAACTCATCAGGCTTGCCGCTCATGACTTCGACGGCATCTCGAACTTTACCGAAGCTCTTGACGCTCCGACGGTCGATTAATCGTGAAGTGAGAACTGAAGTGTCACCCGTTGGGTCATAAAGCCCTGACTCGGCGTGGTAGAACGACCAGTAATCGTCGTACGTAGCCCAGCTCTCGTTGATATAGAGCTTATCTTCAAACTTCGACAGGACCTTTCTCACTGGTGCCCAGGCAGCCTCGGCCTCTGCAAGGCATTTGCCGATTGTCCAGAAACCGTGTTTATAGCCAGATGTAGCGTTTCTGACAAATACAGTCGGATAGTTTCGGAACCAGTAGCCGTAGCCAGCAAAGCCAGCGTCGTTAAGATCAGGAAGCGACTGCAGCAGAACAGACACGGCGTCGAGTAGATATGCGTTCTTCTTTGTCTTCTCCAGTGGCGCGATTTGCAGATGATGGGCTGTGACAGTCTTGACGTTCGGATGAGCTTTGATGGTGCTGCTCAACGTGACACCATAACCAGGACCTCCGCCGCGCATGGAGCGGAAGAGGTCAGTGTTCTTGCAGTGGTTGGCGATGACGACTCTCCCATCAGCCAGCATCACTTCTGCCTCGAGGATCTGATCGGCACCAAGGCCGTAGTTTCTCGTGGCAGGTCCGTGGCCCCCTCCAGAAGCCCACCCGCCGATCGCTCCAGGCGTGATAGAGCCACCACCAACTGCGATGACATTATTTGCCTCAGCAACCTTGAAAACATCGCGCCACTGATAATTACCATCAATTTTGATAGCACTGCCCTTCCAGCCCGATCTCTTGCACTGATTCTCGGATTTGTAAGTTTTCTGAAAATCAATACCGTTCTTGAATTGATGGAGCCAGAGCTCAAGACCACCAAACCCATCAGACCGACCAAGAAGATCATGGCCTGTTCCGGTAACAACAAGCCTAATATTTCTCCTACGCACATAAGCAATAGTCCCTCGGATTTGTGACAGCGTAGTAGCATTGACAGCGTAAACAGGCAGAGACCCAAGACTGCAAGTGGTAGGCTCTTGACCTGCAGCGTAATCCACCGGCGCACAGGTGATGTTGTACGGATAAGGTCTCCCGATAGGATTCGACGACTGGAAATCCTGATCGGACCACATTTTGTTCACGTAAGCGCACTGCTTCAGATCCTTCTCTGGACCGGGGTAGCATGAGTGCGCGATTGGCTGTGTCTTGATAAGAGCGCCGCTGATCTGTTTGTCGAAGGCTCTCCATTCTGTGGGAGAGGGCCAGCAGGATTGGCCGGGGATCTTTAACCGTTAGTCAGGTTATGTATGATAGATTGAATGTCGTATACATACGCATTTGCATCTCGGTGCTGAACCAATGGCTCCTGTGCAGACGGCAAGTACCGCGAGGAGAAGAAAGAGAAACCTGGGATACATGATGATAGATAGGCCGTAAGAAAAAGAAAGTTGAAGTGAATGTATGTACAGAGGAGAATGCAGCTAAGTGGCTCTCATCAAGTCTTAATCTATGCAGAACATTTATTTTCTGCAACCCATGATTTCGCCGCAGCGGAGTCCGAGGTGGTGTAACCTTGGTGTGCTTATGTGTTCTCGTTTTTGACGAAACTAGTGAATTTGGGGCAGGTATTGGGCAGTCTGGAGTACTTGTTGGTGGGATGCATGCATGCATGCAAGCAAATATCATGCAGGCACCGGGAGCCCTTGATATGCAGCTGTGTGGCAATGATGCAGGACTAGAGACTAGACGTAACTTGACGGCTTTGTTATCTACAAATCAGATTGGACGAACGAGGAGTGGATTGTCAGTTATCACATCTGAGTGGGCATCATGCATGCAAACTTGCATTGCATTGGACCCAACAGCCTGGAGCAAACAGATGACCAACCTATCGAATTGACCAAGGTCCAGGCTGACACCACAATCTCTCCCTGCAGTCGTCTTGGTTGCAATCATGACCTTCTCCCAGGTCCATCACGAACTCTATCTTTCCCTCGCATCATCAGCTTTAGTTACAAATCGAAGACTCATGCGTGCGTGAATCATTGCTCTCACTCCACACCATTTGAGCGTGAGACATGTCTTTGCCCCCTTCAACCCAGATTCCATTACGCGAAATCAAATACGGGACTAACCGCCACCTTGCCCCCCACTCGGCGTTTCAATTAATGTAAATCACGGCAGACGACGGTAAGGCTTATCGTAAACGGAAAGATCTGCGGTGTGGCTAAGAGTCCCTTGGGATGCTGTGAGACAAAGTGGATCGATGCAAAAAGCAAGTATAAAGGGAGGCGATCAATTGTTGTCTCCCTTATCTTCTCTCGCTTGTTGAACTAAAAAAGAGCAGAAAAGGTCATTGGACCGATGCTGCTGTCTCAGTTCCCTGCCAGCTGTGCAAATGCACGTCGCAGTTCATGCTTGTGATGGTCAATCTGTATGGAAATGATCAATTGCCGTCTTGACCTCCCAAGAACCAAATATTTGCCGAAAGAAAAAGGGAGGATACAAAATATCCCGCTCTTAAGCTCAGCTACTAACCACAGATATTCCCAGTTCGGCCCTTGACCTCTATGACTATCACACTGCCTTCCGTGGGCTGTCAACCGATTTCCGATTTGCATCAATGTACTCTGTAGACAACAAGTAAAGATTTTCCCTTGAACAAATTTCTTTTGTTTCACCTGCAGTGTGATGTGATACGGCTGTGCCGTGATGTCCCATTGTCTAAACCTTGCCTCTCTTTCGTCAGCTGAACCAACACGATGATCACCGTCATGCGACAGACTTCTGCTCCCCTATATGAGTAGCCCTATGCATCTCCAAATGCATCATGCAAGCCGCCGCCGAAGTTATCGTCATCATGTCAACACCTCCGCCGCCAGACCCAAATGCTCCCCTCACAGGCGCTGCAAGCTCCGTGAACCGCCAAGGACTCACCATCATCGTCTGGACATGCTTCACCATCGCTACCCTCTTTGTATCGCTACGGCTCTTCGTACGATGGCTGCAGAACCGACGCTTTCTTGCCGATGACTACTGGATTACATGGGCGTGGCTGTGTGCCCTCACCATGACTATACTCCAGACTGAGCAGATGGATTCTCTCTGGTATATGACGCACCTCCAGGCCGGTCGCGTAGCCTACGATCCCAAGGAGCTTGAGTTCCATCGCAGTCAAATCACTCGGTGGCAGTTCCCAGTCATCAAGATGTTCTGGATCATCTTATGGTCTGTAAAAGCAAGCTTTCTGGCCTTGTTCTACAGACTTGTGCAACCGTTCCCTGCCGCTCGTCGGTGCTGGTACGGTGTTGCAGTGTTTGCAGCCTTAGCACTCATCGTGTGCGTCATCTGCAGTGCCCTAACTTGCAGCCCGCCTTCCAACTACTTCCATGGTATTTCAAGCAGCTCACGTTCCCCGTATTCTGAACATCTACTGACTTGTCACAGGTAGTTGTGATTCCCCACGAGAACAATGGAGACAGTCCTTTAATGTCGTCTTCTCAACGACCGTCGACGTTGCCACCGACCTCATGATCATGGCGCTTCCGATCGCAGTACTCCCCTCTTTACAATTCGATATGAAGAAGAAGATTGGACTTGGAGTTGTCTTTTCGCTGGGTATAATCATCATCTGCGTCGCCGTTGTTCGCATGACAAAAGTTATCGTTGGAAACCAGGTCGATCTCGTGGGACTAGCCATTTGGGGCGCCGTGGAAACAGCAACAGCACTTGTTGTCGGCTCACTACCGGCACTCAAGGGCTTGCTTACCCGAGGCATCAAGAAGTATGCGACGTCGAAGAGCGGTAGAACAGATCCGGCCGATTACGGAAGTCGAAGTTCACAGCGTCGATGGGGCCAAGGCTCTGCATTGACGCCTCGGGCTGTTCTGGCTTCTGATCGTATCCCTCTTGATGACGTCCACCACAGTGGCCAAGTTGACGGTGGAATATATGTCCACAAAAACGAAACGTTCACGATGGTTGTTACGAGGGATGATAGTTCTTCCCAGAGCGATGGGGATGAAGTACCTATAGTGAGAGCGCCGCCAAGATTAGTGAGAGCACCACCAAGATTAGAATAGCTCAAGCGATATAATACATACATGTTCCAGAACATTGCAGTGATACACTGTGTTTATTTAGTGATTGCTACCCTACTCAAACTCCCTCCACTGTCTCACGACCTCATACAAACTATCATTATGCCCGACGTTTCCAGGGAAGACAACATAGTTCAACCCCGGCCATTTTGACTCTGGCTCATCGCATCGCCACATCGGAACTCCAGGCGCAGCTTGGCCAACAATAAGAGCACGCTTCATCCTCAATCCCTTTGTCGCCATATCCGACGACGTAATTCCGCCCTTGGCGATGATGTAACGAGGCTTCTGCTCTAGTCCCTGCAGGAACGACACCAGAGCTAGGGCAATATTTGAGCCGATATCTAGACTCTCAACTTCGTCTTTCCCGACGATGAGCTCCCGGCTTGTCATGACCAGAACGTCCTGTCCGTTCTTGATATGCTGTGACGCAAGTTCAATTGCTTTTGCGACATCTTCTTTCGCTGCCTCGTCGGATTTGAGGAGTGCTTTGACGTTGAGCGTAATCGTTGTTAGGTTGCTTCCTGACTTTTGAACCAGGGAGTCTAGTTGCGCGGTGGTTTTGGGTACGTATGAACCTGCGATGATGAGACCACCAACACTCTTGGACAGCCCGAGCTGGCCAGCTGAAAGTGGCGGAATAGATGATATACCCAGACGCGCTGAGACAAAAGCGGCGCCTGTTCGGTACAAGAATTTCTTCCCTTGCTGCGACGCTTGAAGTAACGCAGTGACGACAACGTCGATATCTTCATCTGCAGCTGCGTTAATGACCAGCACAACAGGGGTGTCGCCTCGCTTTGGGGGCTGCATGATCTGCTTCAGAACTGCTTCCGGGCCACCGACACGGATAGTCTCCAAATCGATAGAGTCAATATTGTCGTGTGGAATCTTTCCCTTCGACTTCTCAACAACGTAGTCCCGAAGATTAGAACTCTTGTATCCAAATGTCGCATCCTTGGCAAAAGGCGTGTCGGCTGCAGGGATGAGCTTGTCCCCCTCATGAACATAGTGAATATCGTTAATAGTGTATCGTCCGCCTTGGAGGAAGAACGGGCACAAGATCCACGCGTCAAACGCGCCATTCACATGCTCCACCGCCTCAGGCTCAAGAGGAAAGTGACCTCGTAAGATAGAATCACCACGTAGCACAATTTCATAAGGGAGCTTTATCTCTTGAGAAGCTGCCTTTAGATTGGTGCAGATCTCGATCATGAGATCACGTGCTTGCTGGGGGTGCAGGGCGCGTGAATTGGTGAGAATGAAGAAGCCATTGCCAGTCCCGACTTGCTTGAACGTCGAGACTAGATTTTGGGCATCCCAGACTGTCAAGATAGTGATGTCGTGGCATGTTTGTGTTCCTGTTGGGTCATCGTCGAGGATAACTAGCACCGGAGCTGGTGAGGAGGGGTTTTGGATGGTGAAGCGTGTTTGAGTGCGGAGTCGTTGATGTGAAGCTTGTACTGAGGGCAATGATGAGAGAGCCTCGGACAAGATGAGTGTACTAGTTTGTGCCATGATGAAATAATCTAATGATGATTGTGCGTATCTAGAGGAGCAGCGATATTGGTAGGTGTCGATTGAGATAAATAATCGCTGTCATCCGATTTAGTTTAGGGTAGCCGACAGATCGCCAGGTTCTTATCCGACATCCGCGAGTTGGTCCGTGTCTGTCGGTCTTCATTCCCATTGGCTATGAGACCGACCGAACCGGGGCTTTCACGGATCAGAAAGGTTGAAGAAGCATTGAAAGGTCACCAAAGACAGAACAACAATATTCAGGCACTGAATGAATAGCGATCTCTTGGCCATTCTGTTAATCAAGAGTGGCTTATGCATCTGAGACATCTAGACGGTGTATACGCACTCACAGTACTCCGTATGATGAATGCTTACTCCCACTCATGGTCTCCATGCATTCTGGGACCAAACCGAGGTTATACACTATGCACAATTGCTTTCACAGCCCTCTTTATGTATTATGCACAAGCATCATGCACAAAACTCGAATATCTTCTTATGACTCCTGATCCACAATGAATAAAATCATCTGCGGAGGCACCCGGACTAACGATGTCTCCGTGCACCTCCGCATTTCCCCAGCGACAGATCCCTACCATATCCGCTCTAGTCAAAGCAGTAATTCTCGATGACTAACTGCCCCCGCGTTTTTGAGCCTGTGCAACTTTGACGTGTTTTGGGTCATTAATCACTGGCAAAAGTCAACGACAGAGTCAAGATGTCGAAACGGAATGGAAGTACTGCTACGCAAGAATACGAGGGGAGCGTGGTACGTTTATGTGTAATTGATCTGCAGGTTGCAGGGGCGCTGATCAGTGATAGCCTCCACCGAAACGAGTGGCGATAACCTCCAATTCGGAGCATCCTGTCGCTCATATCTCGAGACATATCAGAGCATGCACAACATGTCGGAAGCACAAGGTACCATGACTGCCACTAACAGGGCAAATGAAGTGACTGACTTGTTAAGATCAAATGCTTTATGGACGATGCTGGACCACCATGTCGACGGTGTAAAGAGAAGAAGCTGAGCAACTGCACTGTTAGCAAGAACCTACAGACCATCATTGATGAGAAAACTGAGTATGCTTGGAGTCAACCGTGCTGAGATCACGCTGACTCTGCCAGGCTGTCAGAAGCCATGCTATCGGATCTCGACCAGGTGTACACAGCAGTCAAGGAGATGAGAAGTATAATGGGCTTACCAGAATTACCGCCATTACAAACATCACGGTTGAACAAGCGAAAAGACTCTTCAGCACCACCACCACAAGAGTCAACGACACTTCAACTGGACGATAATTATGGCCCGTCATGCGATAATTCACCGAAGCTCACGCCCGAAGATGATAGACTGCCTCATGCGCCCATTCATTCTTTATACACTCTTACTAGAATGAGAGCACTTCGATCGCCCGGAAGTGGGAGCGAGAACCCAAGTCAAGCTATCAATGATTTTATTTCTCAAGGACAGATCTCACTGGCTGACGCTGAGCGGTTATTTGTTGTTTACCGAGATCGTCTGGACGGGTTTATCTACTCTATTGGATGTCCCTATAAAACTCTCGAGAAGCTTCGTCGGAAGTCCTCAATCCTATGCGCCGCTACCCTTACAATCGCCGCACTCCACGACCCAGCTGCCGATAAAGTATATGGCATTTGCAACTCCGAACTCCGGCGATTGACCGAAAAGTCGATGCTGCAACGCCAAGGTGACAGGGACTACTTCCGAGCTCTCAGCATCGCGTCATACTGGCTTAGTGACTTGTCTTGGACATTGTCAGGCCATGCGATCAGACGAGCTGCAGAATGCAACATCCACAACAGTTACGGTCTTGCCATCAAAGATCAATCTGAAGAAGCTATGGACTCAGCGCGAATCTGGTCTATTCTATACATCTGCGACCAGCACCTTGCTATTCTATACGATAGACCGGCCATTATTCAGGATGATTGGCTTACGCAGGACTGGGAAGGTATCTTGAACTGTCCGCTGGCTACGGATCAGGATGAAAGACTTATGAGCCAGGTTGAACTGATGGGGATACTGCGGAATATACGACGATTGTTTGGTCCTGATAAGGGAGAAGAAATTCCTAGATTATATCTGAGTCAGATAGGACACTACCATCGACAACTTGATCAGTGGATCACAAAGTGGACTGATCGGCTTCCAGGTATGTACCCATAGACTCACTCTTTGCATCGATTAACAAAGTTGCAGAGGGCCATCCCAACATCGGAGCATTTCCAAGAAAAGGAGCCCTCTTCCACTTCCATCTCGCCCAACTATATCTCTACTCCCACGTCTTCCGAGGCCAATCCAACCAAATACCCAGCCATTTCCTCGACACAGCCTCAATGGCCGTAACTTCCGCATCAGCCATCATCGACATCCTCCTCACCGACCCTGACCTCTCCATCAGTATTGTCGGGATACCATCTTATCTACTCTCGATGACAGCATTCGCAGCTATGTTTCTAGCCAAAGTTTCACATAAATACGGAGATAACCTGTTCAGACGCGATCAAGCGCTGGATCAAATTACTCGACTGATCAGCCATTTTCGGTCTTTGTCTATGGGGAAGTGGCATCTGGCGAATCTGATGATTAGAGGTTTGGAAACTGTGACGAGTCTTTTGACCTCGCATGGAGTGCAGGATAAAGTGCAGAATGCTATTTCGTCGATGATGCCTGGGAATGAGGCAAATCAAGGTCTTGAAGATGTCTACAATACGAATCCGGATATGTTCACTGGGATTGATGGGAGCACGATGCCTACTTGGGACACGACCTTTGGGCTATCACCTATCTTTGGCTTTGATCCATCGTTTCTTGATGTCGATGGGTACATGCAGTCAATGGCCATCTTTCCAAACACAGAAGGATCTCAAAGGGGCGTCGAATGGTATTATGAAAGGAAAGTCAAGCGACGGGCGATGTATTAAAATGGCTGCTCTTAAGGCTCCTCACCCACAAGCTCCATTTCAGCTCAGTTTTATATCAGCCCTTATTAGCTATGATCACCCCTCTGACTGAGCAGCAGTCAGTGGCCTCTCCTGTTCCAGTATCTTGGCTTAAGCCTGCTGGCCCCGTTGGCTAAGCGAAGCTCCACTGTGTGGCAGAAAACGACCCATCGGCATGGTGAGTAATAGTGGCGACATTTGCACGTTCTGGAGCGTCTTGAAAGTCGATTGAGATAAACAAACCCAAGTTCTCTACGCCAAGAATTGTTCCTTGTTGGTGGCTCCCTATACTCACAAAGTACTTATCACGAGGCGTGATTATATATCGTTGACCAGGTTGGGCTTGCCAGATAGCCGCAGGAACGACTTTATTCTGGTCGTCGTGTTTGCCCAAGCCGGCAAAGACATCTATATCATATAAAATTAAAATTACATCATGTTTTTGTAGAGACTGAGAAATAACTCACGATATTCCGACTCGTTGAATGCTCCACTGTGGATACAAAACGAATACACCTTATGAAAATCAAAGGTTGACAGATTTAATCGAGGTACGCCATTGACAACCTCAAGATCATGTGTCGTGATGTGCTGGAAATCACCGTTTAGAGGCACAGGCATCGAACTACTGACAGAAGCAACCTGGCCTGACACAATTGACGCTGGAGTAGTGCCAGCGACTGCAAAGCCTTCGGGGCTTGCCTGGAATGTTGCCTTGTCGCCTCCGGGAGCAACTCCAGGCTGGGTGAGCCAAACAGGGAGAAGTGTTTTCCTTACGTTTGGCGTATAAAAAGGGTCGGTACAATAAGGTGGCGCATTGAAGAAAAGATAGTTTTGGGTCGCACCAGAGTGGTTGACGATGTAGACAAAGTAAGGTTTACTCATTTTTCAAATATCTCTGCAAGATGTTTAAAGGATGTTGAGGGGCAAATGAGATTGGAAGAAAAAAGTACATGAGGTGGCTGGCTGAACCAAGGCATCACCGGTCCTTATCTGGGACTATTTGCAGCAATATTGGTCTGGACCTCACTATCACAATCAATGTCTCAGGATAGCCTATGCAGCGTTGCGGGGTAGCTGTCACATACGTAAGCATTGAAAAGCGGTCAGCCGACTCGCCGCAGGACAACTTGTCTTTGACTGTGTGATCTTGATAGTTTTATAAGCAAAGAAATAGGAATTAATACTTGATATGTCCATCTTTAAATCCTAGACACGCGAAAGGACAATTGCTAAAGAGTGAGTGAGGGTTATGCATTCGGGTCACTGTGCTAAGCCCCCGTGTTAAGCGATCCTAACTATGCCGAGATTAGCATAAAGCAACCAAACTATTGGAGCCACTATTTTGCCAAGGCTTGAATTATGCAAGCTGGCCGAACCGTAACGGTCCAGGCTGTCTTGGCATTGTCCGGAAACAAACCATTCTACTAGCGTAGTACTTATCAGCTAGCCACAAGTCCACAGACAAGAGCTGAAAAGCCAATTCCCTTCTATTGGCTTTAGCTCATATAGGCACTCTGTCATAGTTAGTCAAACAGTGTAGTTATTGGCTGATTTCGTTAAATGTCAAATACATATCACATATCGACACTTTCAGCTCCGTCGTTCCCGGCCATATAGTCCTCCCTGACATGGCGACTCCGTGTCTCTCTTTACGTTAATATGACCTGTTCCCTCTTATCGCTACTCACTGAGCTATAAAGTACATGATATATATATCCGCCTTTCTGAGTACTTAGGTTCTTGTTATGCAGCACTATTTCTCATTACCCCATTGATCTTCTCATAAAGGCTTTTCAGACTCTAAACTTCAGTATGACAGAGGACACTGAAACTTATTGCATCAAAGGTCTTCCTAGGCCTGAAAATGCAAGAACACGCACTCGCGAGACTAAGGATGGCAGCAGCATCCCTTATGTTGAGAATTTGCCCGTTCGCTATGAGATCTCCAAGCTGGCGGGCTCCAACGACCCCATGCTTCGAAGGCAGTGGACACTTTTTGTCCTTGCGCTCGAGAAGTTCAAGATGAAGCCTGTCAACGAGAAGCTTTCATACTTCCAAGTCGCTGGCATTGTAAGTGCCGATAAAGGTTTCTGATGCAAGGCATTGCTGAACATGAAATTAGCACGGCTATCCTGAGGGCGCATGGGACGGTGCTCCAGCACCCAGGCCCGACCCAACCGACCCCAAGAAGGGAGACCAGCCTTATGGCGGTTACTGTAATCATAACGGTCTGAACTTTCCAACTTGGCATCGACCTTACATGGCACTGTTTGAGGTATGTCTCTTGGAGTTATTAGCATCATAGTGACCAGCGATTAATCTTGCAGCAATGTATCTGGGACAACATGGGTGTCGTCCTCAATCATTGGGCTACTGTCCACAAACTGGATGGAGATGAGTTGAACTTGTGGAATACTGCCAAGGATACTTGGCGTATGCCTTACTGGGACTGGGCTCGACAGCAAAGCTACAACGAAGACTTTGCCTATCCCCAAGTCTTGGTACAGGGCCCAGTTCGCATCTTTGTACCCGAAAAGGTCAAAGAGTATTACCCTCCCAGCGGACTCTACGCCAACCCTTTCTGGAGCTTCGAAAATCCCGAGAAAGACGAACACGGAAACCCGTGTGCCTTTGGTAAGATGCCCAAGGGCAAGAGAGACTATAACATCGAGGATGACCCCGTCGATCATGATAATGCTCCTCCCACAGGCGATGACAAAGCTTGGATGCCTGTAAGTTCTCAGGTGAACCAAATTATCCCCCCTTTTAGATTACTGACGAGTATTGAAGTGGAGTGAAGCTACTGCAACTAGTAGATACGGCATCTTTGTTAACAAGACTGCCAAGAAGTTCATCGGTCTCGAGGGCGTCAACAATGCTTGGGTAGCCAACAACCACCTCGCGAACATGACGTGGTATTCCATCACAGCCAGACAAAAGGCACAAGATAAGAAACACAACAGGGATTTCTATCTTAAGTGGAACCCAGGAACGCTTGCTGATTCAGTCAACCGTATGTTCTCACCCCAGTATAACGATACGTGGGGCCAGTTCGCCTCGACCAAATGGACGTACGAGGGTTATGGCAACTCAATGAATGGCTTCTTGTCTCTGGAGTACATTCATAACAATGTTCATGTACGTACAAGTTACTCGTCACCCTATTATCTTGCGACTGACTTCTCAAGAACATCGTTGGGGGCTCTGATTTCAAGACCGGTGTGGGCCACATGAGCGATGTGCCTGTGGCTGCCTTCGACCCCATTTTCTGGCTCCATCACACGTAGGTTCGCCACATCCCACTGCTTGTTCAACTTCTGATCAGCGAGCTAGTCAAATCGATCGTCTTCTTGCCATATGGCAGTCACTTTACCCAACACTCTGGTGGGATCAGGATGAGCCTGGCCAAGGCAATGTTCTCGATGAAACCCCAAAGGACCTCTTATACCCCTTCCATGACAAGAGCAAGCCATACCCAGCCGACCCGAAAGAAGACAAAGACTTTTGGACCGCCGAAAAGTGCCGTGACTGGACGGTTTTCAACTACCAGTATGACGATCTGATGGATCTATCCCAGAAAGCACTTGGTCCCAAAGGAGATCTCAACGAGGAAAAGTTCAAGAAGCTTCTCCAAGCATATATCCACAAGACCTACCCTTGCGCGGAACATTTGATTCATGATATCAAGGAGAACCAAGACGTTCACGTCCCAGCCGGACTGAAGCCAAATGTTCCCAATATCAGCGATGGCTCCTGGAAGGACTACATCATCAATGTTAGATACGATCGTTATGCTTTGGATGGGCAATCTTATACCATCAAATTCTTTCTCGGTGGTCCTGAAGATAAGGATGAGACTCACTTTGAGCCTCAGAACTTTGTGGGGAGCGTCTACACCTTTGGCGGTGGCTCGCGCAAGACTCGAGACTCGTGTTCCAACTGCAAGACCCAGGCTGAGGCAGGCGTTCTCTCGTGCGCCCAGATTCCTCTTACTATCCAACTGCTCCACCATACGATCGACTGTGTGAGAGACCACCCAATTGACACATTCGAGGACGTTGAAGCGTATCTCAAACTTCATCTTCGCTGGAAGTTCTACGGCTATGGTGGCTTTGAAGTTGACGAGAAAGATCTCGAGCCCTTTTCCAAGACTCAGATTACGGTGTTGCGAGGTATTGGCCAACCTCATCACGTAGCTGCCCCGGCTCAGGTCTCGACGTCAGCGCTGAGAACATTGAGTGTTGCGGCTGCTGATATTTCGATCTCTGCGCCATCAAATGTGCCCGCTAATGAGACGAATGGGTCAGCTCAGGGAACGCCAGTTGCATTGCCCCCGGTTTACAGTCGTAAGCCCTATGTGTCCCTTCCGGACATTACTCATGGTAAGCCTTTGGGTCTGCAGAACGATGGATCCTACACCTTTTCAGCCGCAAGTGAGATCTAGGTAGATTGGAGGTGTATTGGTAAGAGAAAGTAAATGTTCAAATATGGATCTGAACTTAAAGTCCCCTACTACGTTAATAGGCGGCTGCTTTCCAATACGTCCTGTCCAACTGACGGAGGCTGGAAGGCATTCAACTATACATTTATCCCAAGTCTTTATACAACCTTAGTCTAAAACCCATGTCTACATGCCTTGAATGTTCCTTGGTCGGTACTCGTTCTCCAAGTATTCCAACTCCTCCTTCGTAAACTTGACATTCAACGCCTCCACCGACTCCTTAATCCTCTTCTCAGAATTCAACCCCAAGATCGGATAACACCCCTTCTGCAGAACCCACGCCGTAGCAACAAGCGCCATGCTAATCCCCTTGTCATTCGCAACCTTCTCAACCCGATTCACAATCTCCAAATTCGCATCTGCAAACCACGTCTCCGTCTTCTTATCACTCTGACTCCTAATCGACTGACTCGCCTCATCATTCTTGCTCGACAGAGGTTTAGCTAGAAGACTGCGCGCGATGGGACTCCAGGGAATGACGCCGACGCCCGTGGCTTCGCAAAAGGGAAGCATTTCTCGTTCCTCTTCGCGGTAGAGGAGGTTGTAGAAGGGTTGCATGGAGATGAAGGGGGTCCAGCCTTTGGATTGGGCGATGTATTGGAGACGGGCGAATTCCCAGGTGTACATTGATGAGGCGCCGATGTAGCGGACTTTGCCGGACTGCACGACGTCGTGAAGGGCGCGCATGATCTCTTCGGGGGGTGTTTCACGGTCCAGACGGTGGATTTGAAGGACATCTGTGCTGTGAGTATGTCACTTAGTTTACCAGGTCAGACAAGCTTACCAATGTAATCGGTTCCAAGACGTTCAAGACACTTATCCACAGCATGGAAAACATGCTTCCTACTTAACCCCATTTGGTTCACAAGCGGGCCGTCATTGATACTAGCAGGCCTTGTACCATCATCCATAACAGGGTTAAAGATCTTTGACAAGATAACAACCTTTTGGCGAGGAATGTTGAATTTCTTCAAAGCCTTGCCAATGATGACCTCTGATTCGCCATTGGAGTACGTATCAGCTGTATCCCAGGTATTGATGCCCTGGTCATAGGCAGCTTTAAGAAGTTTCAGGCCATCTTCTTCATCAAGGACCCAGGGTGAGCCTTGCCATGAGCTTGAGCCAAAGGTCATACAGCCGAGGATGACCTTTGAGATCTTGAGGCCCGTGTTGCCGACATGCCGATCTGACCAACGCTGATATCGCCGAACATTTCCTTCCCCGCAGTATTCCACTGGGATCATCAACCCCTCACCTCCAACGCCATTCAATCGGCCATCCTCCCAATTGGTCGACGAGTCATTCATAGTGGGCTTAGCTTCGGGCTAATATCCGCCGGGATCGTGGGGAAGTCACGTAGAAGAGGTGATGTTTTAAACCACCAAGACAAGACTCATTGCAACATTACAATCAGCTCGATTCCGCAATTAACCATGGCACCAAACCTTCAAACTATTCCTGTTCCCTCAGCGACAGTTCAATCCCACGCTTCGAATTTGTTGCAACTCCCAGACAAGACTGTGCTATGTACATGGTTTGGTGGTTCACAAGAAGGACTGCCTGATATCAGTATTTGGCTATCTCGACTAGAACCAGGATCGCCGTCTTGGACTTCCCCGCAAAAGATCTCATTTGATGAGAATAGAAGTTGTCAAAATCCCGTCTTGTTCAGAGCACCTCACAATGGAGACATCTGGTTGCTTCACACCTCGCAAGACGCCGGTAATCAGGATGGCGCTTATATCCTGAAGCGCACATCTCCAGACCAGGGCCGTACCTGGTCTGAGGCTAGTCGGCTTCTTCCCAATGTCACTGGCATTTTTATAAGACAACCCATCGTCATCAATGGCAGTGGGACCTGGATCTTGCCAGTTTTCTACTGCCGCACAGAACCTGGTCACAGATGGATTGGCAGCGATGATATCTCTGGTGTTCTCTACTAAGAAGACAATGGCGCAAGGTGGAAGGAGAAGCAAGCACCAGACAGTGTCGGCTCTGTTCACATGAACATCCTCCCCCCAGCATCCGGCTCTTCACTCTGGGTCGCATTCTACCGTAGCCGCTGGGCAGACAATGTTTACCGCTCAACATCCAGTAACGGCATTGACTGGGAAACACCAAAAGCAACAAGCCTCCCAAACCCCAACAGCGGTATCTGCGCAGCCCGTTTATCATCAGGCCATATCGCCATTGTCTTCAACAGATCAAGCACCTCAGCTGATACCCTCAAACGACAAGGCTTATACGATGACATCACACCTGAAGATGATAAGCGACCGAACCAAGTCACAAAGACAGGAAAGGATGCGGTTTGGGGAACGCCCAGAAAGGCATTGACGCTTGGAGTTTCGGAGGACGAGGGACTGACGTGGAGAGAGCGTGTGCTTGAGGATGGCGATGGGTTCTGTGGGACGAATAGTTCTTTGGGACAGGAGAATAGGGAGTTGAGTTATCGGAGTATTTATATTGAGAAGGGCGGGGATAGTGATGTTGCGCATGTGGCGTACACCTGGCATCGGCAGCATATTAAGTATGTAAGGATTGATGATGTCGAGGCATGGGTTAGTTAGATCTGACTGAGAAATCTATCTGAATTGCGCAAAGAAACTCAGACTATTTCACCAGTGATTTGTGATAGGACCGGTGGATTCTAGGTTTTGCAAACTTCTCCATGATCTCATTGTAAAGGCCGTGAAGGTTTGGTGCCTCTTTTACGTCCCTCTTTAATAAAGTAAATAGGATTAAATAGCTTAATATCCTTGCAGATAAATCGTAATTACATATGCCTGGTTCTGCAGGCTCATGCATTAATTTTCACTGTCTTGACCTCTGTTAGCTACTTTAGAAGTCGTTTCCATTCTAACATTTTTACCCTACATCAAAACGACACCATTACCCGGCTTTCTCACATACCTGAGACTGGTGGAAGGCCCCTTCTGTTCTCTGTGACCGTGTATGCGATGTCTCAGGCGCTATCTCGGTCTGGTTCCCGGCCGAGACATGGTGCATCATCCGCGAGTGTCAACTCAACCAATAGGATTTCTGACCGCGTCCACAAGAGCACCAAGCGGACTGGGCATTCACTGCTCGCCACTGGGATCTGTGCAAACCATGGATCAAGAGAGACGATGCAAAGAGGTCGCAAAGGTTAGAATGTTATTAAAAGAAGGGCATGATTAGGATCCAGACTTAATCTGCACTTACACACGCAGTATCAGGAGCACTCAACAGTTAGTCAACACATTTCTAATATTTGCTTCACAAAAATACGCATCATGACTCAAACAAAAGACCATGTTCTGATAACTGGAGCCGGTGGCTTCATCGGCCAGGAACTCATCACATCTCTCCTCAAAGACATGCCCAGCGCTCGCTTCACCCTCACCGATATCATCACTCCCCCAATCCCCTCAGGAGCAGAAAGCCAGGTCACATCCCTCAAAGTAGACCTAACAGACCCATCAGCTGTTAAATCCCTGCTGTCCAACCGCTTCAGCCACGTCTATATTCTTCATGGTCTCATGTCCGGTGGCGCAGAGGCCAATCTAGACCTGGGACTCAAGATCAACGTTGACTCTGTGCGAAGTATTCTTGACGTGCTGCGGACTGCATATCCTGGTACGAAAGTGATATTTGCTAGCTCGTGCGCTATCTACGGTCAGACGGATCTTGTGACTGAGTTTGGAACACTTCCTCAGCCTAAGAGTTCATATGGTATTCAGAAGTTGCTGGTAGAGCTTTTGATCAATGATTACTCCCGCCGCGGTCTTCTCGACGGACGAATTGTTCGCCTACCCACTGTCATCGTCCGCCCAGGCGCACCCTCGGCTGCTGCATCCAGCTTTGCATCAGGCATTGTCCGAGAGTCTCTCCACGGAGTCCCCAACATTCTACCAGTTAGTAGAGACCTCGAGCTTTGGGTCTGCAGTCCTGCAACGGTTATCAAGAACCTCATCAAGATCAAGGACGTTCCAAAAGAGAAGTTTGGTGACTCGAGAGTGGTCAACCTACCTGGCATTACGGTTACGGTGCAGGAGATATTAGACGCTTTGAGAGAGGTCGGCGGTGAGAAGGCGCTTGGGCAGATTGAGGAGAAGAGGGATCCGGCGATTGAGGCAATTGTAAGTAGTTGGCCGGCGAGGTTTGATGTTTCTAGGGCTTATGGTCTTGGACTCGAGGCTGATGGAACGGTGTTAGATGCTGTTAAGGCGTTCCATGTAAAGATTTCCAAGGCTTAGTTTGCTAACATGTTTATGCCAGAGTTAATAATAAAAGCTTACACGATGTAATGATCACTTGTAATATATAATACCTAGTTTCCTACCAACTAATTCATTATCGCAAACGATATAACCTTCCACTCCAGTTCCACTGTGATAGCATCAACTGTTTCACCTGGGGGAAAGAGAGGAGCGTGGCATAAGAAGGATAATTTATTCTTGATCAAGAAGCCGATGACCATCGTCATTGAAGGTTGTGGGTCTGCTGAGATCCCTTGCCAGATGCCAACGCATATGGCTTCTATTACACCGTGATCCCTTCATAATTGCACGAGACAGATCGAGAATCATCCCAGCCCCGGTTTGCTGGTTTGAGTGGTTTACCTACAGTGATATGAGTTACTGAGTTATTTGATTGAGAGGCGTAGGTCGAGAGTTTCCTCGATATTATCCTCATCATCCTTTTTTGAATTCATCCATGAACGATTGTTCAAATTTTTTACTTTTTTAGTGGTGATTTATATAGTCATTCTGAAGAGACCGATCAAGGGCTTACTGTAGAGTAATTGGCAGTGACTTCCAAGACATTGCAGACTGTGATACCTTCTCTGTTATAAAGTTCTTAGAGGTAGTTCTGTGTTATTTACCGATTCCTTTAATGAAACCGTTAGATTCATACTTAGCGTTCAATTTTGATTCAAGCAGTCACGGTACTGCTGTTATATCGCAGGTAGTCTATTTATTAGAAAAGTACACAGCGATATTAAAGCGTAAAATATATTCTTCCAACTCCAACACTGCTAGGTTATAGTAACCCTATGCACTCAATTAGCCCGAGAGCTCCTTATGTCTTTTGAGTTACGAAGCATTCGATCGATTACAGGATTTTTCTTCCTGAGCCTGGTAAGCTTCATTCCCAATGCAGCCTCGCTTTTGTACCCCCAGCTCTGAGTGTATCCTTCAACAATAAGTTTCCATGGCAAGCTTTCGAGCCTGCAATTGACGACAAACCTATCTTCTGAAGACAAGCAATTCAAGGTTTCTTGTTCTATTGTGAGGTCCTGAATACCGTTGGTCGTAGCATGTACTTCGGCGTTACGGGGAGTGTTAATCTCCGATGGTTGGTATGCTGCTTCTTGAACTGAATCATCCTTGTCGTGATGGGCAACAAGGATACCCTCTATATCGGAAAGAGGAAATTCTGTCCCTCGTTTCAACCTCGAGACACTGTCTGACCTTTGTCCAGGGAAGACAGTTGGTGCTGAGGAGGAGGTGATGCTATGTTTGGGAGATTCGGATATGGCAGCCGAAGTCATTGAAGCCCCAAAAGGGGAAAGGCAGAGTGACGAATCCAGTAAAGGGTATTGAAAAAGAGGTTGACTAGCGTCCCAGTAATCAGCCCCTACATTAGGGCAGGAATACTGATATGCCAAGAGCATAGGGTCTATAGCCATGGGCTCATCGTCAACGTTCAGTGGAGGGGCGGTATTAAGATGGGGAAAGTTAGAGTCCATTGTTGCAGAGTGTAGAATTAAATTGCAATAAAAACTTAGGGTATTAATAACAACAATGTATTAAGTTAATTTGGAAGTGCTTGTCTTAACGCTTTGAGATTTATACTGGATTCTGTCTTTATCTATCGCTTGTTTATAACACAAGCATTAGCTCAGCTTCTAGCATTACAACCAACAGCGAGGTAGCTAATAGATTGTCTTCGTTATAAACTGTCTTTCTCATAACTTATGAGTTTACTAACTAAGTATAACACCCTTAAACAACGCTGGTAGACACACCTAACTTCTGTTTTAGTCAATCAAGAAGCGGTATAGGATTACTTACCGGGATTATAGGTGGGCCTACCTTGTCCCCTCATAACCTCTCTTCTTGAATCTCACTTGACCCCTGTCCCCTTATAACCTCTTTTTTGAAATCTCACTTGATCCCTGTCCCTCTTAACCCCTCTTTTTTGAAATCTCGCTTGATCCCTGTCCCTCTTAACCCCTCTTTTTTGAAATCTCGCTTGATCCCTGTCCCTCTTAACCCCTCTTTTTTGAAATCTCGCTCTTGACCCCTGTCCCCTCATAACCTCTTTTTTGAAATCTCACTTGACCCCTGTTCCCTTTTCCTGCAGATTCTCCAACCCTAACTGACCCCACAATATAATTTTACTTGCCGTCATATTTTCAGTTTGTGGGCGATAATCCTAAAAATAGTAGAGCTAGGTTCCGGACACCAGGCCGATGAGTAAAATGGTCCGCGACGCTGCAACACCCAATGTCGGTACCAAGGCAAGGCCAATCTGATGGTTGAGATATAGAGGGAAAAGTGCGGAAGACAACTGAAAGATGAATTGCAGGGTAACATTGTGTACATGGGTGCTACTTCGAGGAGAGCTCTATGTGTTATCGAGATGTGCTCTCTCGTCATAAAAAAACCACTACAGCTTCGACAACAGACGCGTGTACGCATTACCGACTACCATATGACCAATATCAAACGTATTCACCAAGCTAGGTCTAGCTTCACTCAGCGACGTGATGCCAGAAAGACGCATTGAAGTCTCAAGCTCATCTTTAAGGACTGCGATTTGTTAGCTTGGTCATCTTTGCGCGACAGAGAAAACTCACTATGGCAGAGATGCTCGGCGCCATCTTGGCCGTGGATAAGAGAGTATAGGAATGGTCGTCCGATACCAACTGCTGTTGCGCCGAGGGCGATGGCCTTCAGGATATCGGATCCCCGCTCGAAGCCGCCGTCGATGTAGACTTCAAGCTGATCAAAGACCTCTGGGCAGTTCTTCCGTAATTCTAGCAGTACCAGGATACTTGCTTGAGCCCTAAAGATAGTCAGCTTTAGTATCATGGGAGTGGAAGAACCGACTTACCCATCTAACGACCGTCCACCATGGTTACTCAACAATACACCCTCAACACCATACTCCGCCGCCTTGATAACATCCTCAGCAGTCTGAACCCCCTTCAACACAATCGGCAACCCCCCACTCGCCTCCCGTATCCAAGCCAAGTCATCCCAGCACAACGACTTGTCAATATACTGCGCCATGAGACGTCCAAACCCACTCCCCTTCTTATCCTTACTGCTCTCACCACCACTAATCGCCGACTTAACAGTTTGTTCTTGCGCAGCTCTCTCGTCTGCCTCACGCTTCCCTGGCACAGGGGCATCGACCGTTACAAAGATCGCTTTAACGCCGAGACTTCGTACGGTTTTGAGAAGCTCGACGGTCTTGTCGTGGTTGGAGTTAACGTATAGCTGGAAGAAGAATGGTTGTGTTGAGGGAGCAGCTTTGACGATCGGCTTTAACGAGAAGGAAGCATTACTCGAGATCTATTAATTGTTAGTTAATAAGTCTTCATGGTCATCAGTCAGTGCACTTACACATTGGGTAATACCCTCATTGGCCGCAGCCCGACTAAGCGCTAGCTCCCCATCAGGATGCGCAAGCCTCGCCATAGCAGCAGGAGAAATAAAAAACGGTGCACTACTATCGAAACCAAGAATACTGGTCTTGTAGTTGACTTGCGAAACATTCCTCAATATCCTGGGCCTGATCATGATTCTCCGCACCAGCTCCTTATTCTTCCCGTGCGTGACGAGATCTGTCGCGGCGGACGAGTAAAATGCCCATGTTTTAGCGGAGAGTGAATCTTGCGCTGCCTTCTCATAGTCTGGAGCACTCAAGATCGCGTCTATGGGGGGAATTCTCTTTGCTGTTGCTGTAGAGGGGGCTTGGTTCGTTTGTGTTGGCGATGTAGGGGGCGGTACAGGATCGATCTCGGTGGTTTTAGGGGTCGAGCGACTAATTGCAGATTCTTCGAGGAGGCCTACTAATTTGTCTCTGGGAAGGTCTTCGATGATATCAGGCGCGTGGACATCATTGTAGAGTTCCGTGGCATCAGTACCAGCGAGGCTCAGCAGCACTACTCATCGTGATTAGTCTCGCCACAACCTCCCAAGTTACTCAACATACCTTCTGGACCGCCAGGATGCTCATTAATAAAGTGTGTAATATCCCAGACCTTGGAATGGACAGCTATCCAACAGTCATTCGCCGTGTTATGCTGCCTCAAGTCGTCCAAGGACACTCTTCTCGTCTCAAGTGAAGTCTCCATGATTGCTGATAGTATTGATTCAATTTACAGAACGAAACAAGTTGTAGACCTTGAAAATAAGCTAATAAACCAAGCTGCAATTTACTATCTCCACAAGCTCTCACAACCCGGGAATGCCGAGTATCGGCCTGGGTCACGGAGAACCTTCCCATTGGCTGCTTTCGCCCCCCGGGAATGTCTCCGGGCGTTGAACCCCGCATTGGGCCTTGGAGTTTTGGTGCACTTAAGAGCTCGGAGATAGCATGGACGATTACTGCATCAAGCAATATCTTCATTACACAATCATCACTCCTCTATCAATCACTAGTCAGATCTTCAAAATGGAGCGCAGCACTATCCAAGCAAAGGCAAAGCCCCTCCCCAAAGGAGTTTACACCCCCGTGGTCACACTTTACAAAGCAGACGATCCAACCCAGCAAGTAGACCATGAAGCAATGCACACCCAATGTCAAGCCTTGATCAAGGCAGGCATGCACGGTCTCGTCTATCTCAGCACGAATGGCGAGCTAGTTCTCCTCTCGCGTGAAGAGCGCAAAGCCATCATCAAGACAGCCGTGCAGACAGCTTCTGCAGCGAGTGGACCTGACTACCCCATTGTGGCAGGCATCTCGGCACAATCCACGCAGGAGACGATCCAGAACGCCAAAGATGCAGCGGATGCTGGAGCTGGCTTTGGGTTGCTTCTGCCGCCGAATTACTGGCCCAAGGCACTGCCCAGCCAAGCTATAGTGTCTTACTTTAAAGAGGTTGCGGCGGCTTCACCGATACCTATTGTTATTTACAACTTTCCCGCTGTCACATCTGGTATTGATCTAGATTCCTAGCAACATGATTCTCAACAAGTTCGCGAAGCCTTCTCAGTACATGGCCACCATCATGTTCATCTGGGGTATTGTCGTGGTTTGCACCGGTCTAATCCACAACTTTGGCCAACTCTGCATCATCCGTATCCTCCTCGGTCTTTTTGAGTTAGTAGTCACCCACCTCTACATCTCATACCTGCTAACATCACCAGGGCTGGCTTTTTCCCCGGCGCTATCCTCATCATTTCGAAATGGTACCTCCCCCACGAAACGCAAACCCGAGTCGCGATTCTATATACATCCGCAGCCACCGGAGGTGCTTTCTCCGGCCTCTTTGCCTATGCCATCGCCAAAATGGACGGCATCGGTGGTCAGGGCGGTTGGCGATGGATCTTCTTCATTGAGGGAATCTTCACAATTGTCATGTCGTTCGTCACATGGTTCTTGCTCATCGACTCGCCTACTCTCTCATACTGGCTTACCGATGAAGAGAAGCGATATCTCGTTCTGCGCCAAGCTTCTCGAAGAGTCACTAACTCGGGCGAATACCGCGAGAAGACGTTCGACAAGGGAGCTTTGTTCGAGGTTCTCAAGGACTGGAAGGCATATCTTCTCGTTATCATGTCCTGGTCCAACGCTGCGCCCAACTACGGTCTCAAATTCTCCATGCCCTCTATTGTTAAGGGAATGGGCTACACATCCAGCAACGCCCAACTCATGACTATTCCACCTTATCTCTGCGGAGCTATCTCATCGTACCTCCTCGCTCGATTCGCTGATAAGCACAAGTGGAGAATGCCCTTTATTATTGGTCCTCAGCTCTGCATCGTCATAGCTTTCTCTATTCTTATGACCAAAGCCGAGTTTATTGTTCAGAACCTTGGAGTGTGCTACTTTGCAGTCTGTCTCGCTTGTGCTGGCATGTATCCCATCTTGCCTGGTACCAGCGCCTGGAACATTGACAACAACCTCAATCCCACCAAGCGAGCCATCAGCATTGGCTTTGTCACCTGTGCAGGTACAATAGGTGGTATCTATGGTAGCTACATCTATATCGACAAGGAGAAGCCCAAGTACACGACTGGATATGGTGCATCGCTCGGATTCGCCGTCGCAGGAATCTTGGCTGCTGTTACCCTTGAGACTGCTTTGGTCATGATTAACAAGAAGAGGTCCAAGATCAGCGAGGCTGAGGTTCGGAGCAAGTACACAGAGGAGGAGCTTGAGATTATGGGTGAGAAGAGCCCCCTATACCAGTACAAGCTGTAGTAGAAGTAGCGATAAGAAACTATTCCAAGGCACTTGAATTTATACAAATTGCTAAAAGTATGCTATTATACCAATGACATGTGACATGAAAGAAATGGGGCACCGGGGTACAAGAAGACTTCTAACGTTAGAGTAAGGTCCTAAAAACATTTAGTCTAAGATTATCTAAATCTATACTAAATTTACCTAAGGCTTTTTGTCATCTAGGATAGAGGTCCTAAGTTTTATTGCATCCCCTTGGCAGACTGGGGCATCGATCTCAACCACCTAACCGGGTTACCTAAGTGGTCCATAAGCGGTTCGTAGTAGCTATCTTATTATTCGGAAGATACCTAGATCATCCTAGTTCTTACTGCAATGATCCTGCCGTCTCTCTCGAATATCCGAGAAGCCCCGGAGGATTACGGACTCCAAGTTTATGAGCAAAGCTTCTCGCTACAATCTCCTTCAAGGGCTATACAAGATCGTGCTTGTGCTCGCTACGATCATGTTTATCCATATCTCGTCAACCAACACTCACAAATCGGAGATGAATCCGGCCGCAAGTCCCAGTTTCTTTCGTGCTCTGGCGCTGTCACTACAGATGTAGTAGAGAAGCAGATCCCGCGCCTCGACAACAATCAGGAAGTCATTACTCTATCCATCGGTAAGTCCACTCCTGCTCACCTACATCCTATCTTTGAGCTCTGGTCTTTTTTATGTTACTCACGTCTTCTCCAGGAGGTAGCGGCGTCGGCCTGGTGGACCTCTTAAACTCATGCATTTTCCAAATGGGCTGCTAAGAAGAAGCTTGACAAATAGTATCCTAAATCGGTCTTAGAATCAGCTGACGATGGTGCAGTGGAAAGATCCATGCTACAAGGTGAGATGTCTGCTCAACTTGACGTTGGTACGCTATGGCCAACGACCTTTGTAACTACGCCAAGTTCTTCGCCGACGACCGAGTAGGCGATTCCGTCAAGTTTATTAACTGCGATCAATTCATCGGCAAATACGGCGGACGGTACTGCGAAGCAGGGGTCGATGATCCTACCACCGAGAGCGACACAAGGAAGAGTCGCATGTTCTACGAACTCAACACTTGGGATCCTTTGGGTTCGAGTCCATGGAAGCGCGGGGCGGAGGGCGGCGAGCTCAACGGGACTTTTTATGGTGACATGCTCGTTCTCAGCCAAATCACACGCCTTGTAAATCCCAACGCTGAACTTCGCCATTATGGCGATGATGTAAAGAAGGCGCTTGCTGCGCGTGTAGCGATCTTGGATTACCTGATTCCAGATGGATATGGACGATTCTTTCATCCTCAGATCCCACTACATGAAATGATTGCTAGCTTGGTCACTTACGAAATCATGAAGGATCATCAGGCTCGCATTGGATACGCGGTATGGACTCATCCGCCTGAGAACACGAGTTACAAAGTTAAGCCATCGCCTACGCATTCACATGAGAATACTTACAAGTAACATTGCGGCGGCCCATTGCTCAGGCTCAAGGACTGTGACCACACGGTTAATTACCTCCGTCGGGAAATAGATCCTCCATTTGCGTATAGCACAGAGCAAGTTGAAACCAATCTTGACACCACGCGGAAGCATCACTGACCTATGACTAGGAAGGACCAACCTGATGGAAACTGTTGGGGCAAATCTGATGGTATTGGCTGTAGTGTCTTTCTCGAAGGTGAAGGCTGCAAGATGAAGGGCCATGATATGTGGGATTGGTACCAGAAGATTCGCAAAGACGGTGAGAAGAGTAAGAAATGCGGAGAGGTTGGGTATGAGGACGGCTGCACACTCAAGATTGACTTTGTGACAGGATGCAATAATCATGGCTAAGATTACTTAAAAAGGAGTGTGTTGGGTTGTGAAGCATGTTCGTGGTAGCGCTGTTCGACTTTTGGGGGCAGTTTGAAAGCTGATTGGAAATACGGATATTGCCTACGAGACCTTTAAAGGGTTAAGTGAGTGAGACTATGAAACTTCTCTATTTTTATATGACATTAACTCCAGGTTTCGACGTGGAACGGCTTTGGAGTTGGTGATGTGTCCCATTTCGGCCGGACAAATATCCGGGCCGGATCATTTCGCTAGCTACTTTATTTGTTTGTTATCTTTATTATGGGATAGAATACCCCGCAAAAGAAACCATAAGAAGTCGAGATACTTACTCCTACTTGTTATAACTCTAATCATTTTGAAGTACGATCAGTGTGATAGCTATAATCCAAACCAATCCAACTCAACTCAATCAACTCAGATCAGTTGTTGGCCCCATCGAAAGTCCCGACCTATCACTCATAAACGCAATCAAGATTCGGATAAATATACCACAATTCGACGACCCGCACCTCAAAAATATTGCTTCGACCTAGTTTTTGCTCTACTAGTATTGACAATGAACGCCTCCGCGGAGCAACAAGATGAAATTGCCCAGTTGGTTGAGCAATACGGAGCAGTTCCTCCACCCTGGTTCATGTTTCCAGAAGACCATCCGTACAGCATCGGCTGGCGCATGGGTGCTGGCGAATCTTACATTATGATGTACTGGACTTGGTGGAAGCAAGAAAAAGAGCATCTCGACGAAAAGCAGCGAATTGAGTATTTTCGCAGATGGCCGCCTCCACCCGAGTGGCTCATTTGGATGATAGAAGTGATCTGGGATCTTGACCCCAAGGACTTTGAGGATGACGATGCTTACTCGCCCTACTTCAAGCGCGTTGAGGCGCTTGGTTTTGGGTCAGAGGACGATTACAAGAATGCTATGCGTGATGAGGAAGAGTAAATGGGGGGATTTCGTCATCGCGATGCATCTGTTTTCGAGACTGGTAAACTGACGGTCACATTACAGGAAGGGTAACAGGCAGCCATGATAACAATAATGGTTCTATTTAGCCGGAGGAAGGCGAGGATATAGGCAAGGATAAAGTGAAAGTTTGTTGGTTAGTAAGAGATTCGTATCCATCCTGATGCGTCTCTTGGATTCGCAGTGTGCCTGGAACGAAATCAACCCTGCCTGGGAAAGGTTATCTCAATTAAATAAGGAGAAATTGAAAGAAAAAAAACACACTTAAATTAAGTCCCAATACCCAACTGCCAATAAAAGCTCCGTGTCTTGCCAAATTGGCATCTATATTATCTCTAGGAAAGTCTCTTCATTTCTATAGTCGAGCTCGCAGTTAAGCAGGATATTTTGCGACTTTTGCCGTAACATTGCTAAGGGCATAATAGGGAGACAGAAATAGGTCTCCCATTCTTGTAATTCTTTCAGAAAAACACGTCTTGTATTAAATTGATTTACCGGAATTGTGAAGAATAAAGCCAGCAGACGGGCAAGAATTTGGGAACTGGTATTAAGTATGGCATGATATGACGTGAAGCAGCTTGAACCAGCAAAGACAATTGATAGCTTGACCAGCTATGAACTGCTCACCATGCATATCTTCATACCTCTAAGAAGAATAAACTCGTCGAGCCTGTTCAATTTTTATACGTCCGTCGGGTCAGGAATAGGCACAGCTTGCCCACGCGTGAAAGAAACGGCATCGAGGTAAAAGCTAGGGTTAATGCCTTGGTTCTGCGTGATGGTAATGCAGAGATCAGTAGAATCAATGCTTGGGCCGGTATATGAGAAGGTGAAAGTAAAGTCGTTGAAGAAATTATACCCAACGATACCCTTTTCACCAGAGTCGAATGCCCCGTCAATAGACAGTTCAGCGGTATTGACATTGTCATCGCAGCTAACTGAGGCTGGTTGATACTGCTTGTTGCAGACCTGGAGAACCTGCGCTTTGAAAGTATACTCAAAGCCCGCCTCGACTGCGACGCGCTGGCAAACCGTGGCGGTATTGTCAAGGTTTCCGGGTAATAGCCTGCGGAATGTTAGTATGAATTAGTCAATCAGTATTTCGGGATGACAGTGTTACGCACAGACAATGGGTGCCCTCGGCGCAGCCAAACGGGTCGGTGTAGACTATCGGAGAGGTTCCTTCTACCACCCAAGGATCGACGGTAGACTTTTCGAAGCCACCGTTCTCGGCGAGGTTGGTAATCACGGGAGGGCCAGCGGTCGTCGTAGTGGCTTCGATTGTAGTGCTTGTGGCTTCGTCGGCGGTCGTAGAGGTCTCGGTTTCTTGGGAAGTGACAGCTGTCGTGGTTGCGACGATGGTAGTAAAAGAGCTGATATCATCGGTCGTAGTGGCAGAGGTCTCAACAGTGGTCTGAGACTCAGTGACGCTGAGAGTCTCTTGAGAGGTTGAGTCAGTGACACTCAGAGTCTCTTGGGTGGTTGAGCCAGAAGTAGTCGTCTCCAGTTCTGTAGTGGCAGAGTCGGCTGAAGATGTTTCTATGGTGACCGATGACTCAATGCTTGACGCAGACTCAGTGGCGCTTAGAGTCTCTTGAGAATTAGTCGTTGTGGCAGCGCCTCCAGCCGTTGTAGTGCCAATTTCGCTGGCGAGCGACGTTGTTGTTGTCGGCCGAGGATGGGGGGCGCAAGCCTAAAACTAACTGTAAGCTTTTACTTGTGGGGTTAGGGGGGCGTTTTAGAGCACTTACACGAGCGGCGCAGAGGCTCGCGCCCATGAGGAGGGAACCGAGGGTAGTAGTGACACGCATCGTGAATAGACTGTAAAAGAGCGACTGGAGAAAACGAATGACTGGAATGCGGTAAGTGAAGAAAGAAATTGGAAGAGACATAAGAGCGAAATGTTTTCTTATCATCACGTTGGGCTTCTGTGAGAGCTGAATGACAAGTTGGAACTATTGGCTTTAGCTCGCGCTAACTTGAACAGAAGCAGCTAGCAGATTCAATGGTCCGTCTCTCTAGCCCCAGTTCTTTCAGGGGAAACGCACGTAGGGCCAGCTCCTAATTTTAGACGTAAATTGTTCTACCGGGTAGGTTAGTGCTGATTGAAGATCATATCCTCTGCTCAGTTCTGTCAGATACAATTCCTATTGAGATTTTAATTTACAGCGTTATACTGGTTTTTGGATCAGTCTCATTATCATCTCAGTCACTTATAGATAGTGCGCTATTGGGTAAGGCAGGATCGAGAATGTATAGTAGAGTCTCGTTGACTAACTAGAGCACTTACTTGGCGGAACGCTCTCTCTACGAACATCAGGAGTTTAAAAGCTGGTCCAAGCTGCAATGAGACACATGGCTGATAGCTTAGTGTAGCTACTTTGACTATACTTACAACGGTCAAGATGGTAGGACTTTAGAGGCAATTTGACGTTGGATATTCCCCGCTTTTATCCTACGATGACGCCAACTCTAATGATCTCATCTCCATCTTCTGTTCTTTACCCTTCATATTCCTCTCCTCGTCACTTCATCATGGTCAACGGTGACGCCATCGCCTACAATATCGCCGTCTTCGTTAGCACCCTGTTCCTTCTCGAATTCGGCGCCGATAAATTCGTAGACCATACCGCCATCGTTGCCCGTCGGACGGGAATTCCTGACACGGTGATTGCCCTGCTCACTGCCGGTGCAGAGTGGGAAGAGGTACAGCTTCGATCCGCTTGTTCACCTCTACCATCCTAAGCTAAACTCATCATAGCTTGTTGTCGTTGTTGCCTCACTTGCGCAGGGTCGACCATCGCTAGCAGTGGGAAACATCATCGGGTCAGCCATCTCAAACATCCTCGGCGCCTTTTCACTCGGACTTTTATTTCGTCCAACGGGCTCGCATGTTGAGTTTGACAGGAGCTCTAGGATATACTCACTGTGCTTGCTTATTATCACCACATTTGTCGCGCCAGTTGTTTACTTCTCCCAGAGGATCATCTGGTTGGTAGGTGGTTCTGTCTTGATTGGGCTCTTCGCCGTCTACCTGATCTCCATAGGCTATTCTATCAGTCGGGGAAGTCTCACCGCGCCTGAAAGTTCGGATGATGATAGCAGTGATGATGAAAGCGATACATTATCAATAGAATCAACGCCCTCTGTCAGGAGCCCCCTCCTGCCAAGGCACGAGGAGCCTGAGCCTGAGAATAGGAACGAACGGGATCATCGAGTCGCTGGTAGTCCTTCGGTGGCCGGGGTCACAGATATGCTGAACCATCGAAGGAGACGGAGCCTCGGATATCACATTGGCTTTCTGGTCCCTGGCTTCTTAGCCATCTGCCTGTCGGGCTATGTCCTCTCACACGCCGCCATCAATGTCACAGACGCTATTGGCATCTCCGACGTTCTGTTCGGTATCGTCATTCTTGCCATCGCCACTACCCTGCCCGAGAAATTCGTTGCTGTCCTGAGCGGGAACCGAGGCCATGTAGGGATTCTTGTAGCCAATACCGTGGGGAGTAACGTCTTCCTCCTGTCGCTCTGCCTGGGCATTGTCATGGTTGACACCTCCGGGAACTTTGATGGAGGCAATATCAATGTCTCGGAGCTATCTGTCCTCTGGGGCTCTACGCTGGCGCTCACGATAACCGTTTGGTATGGTGAAAGGTTTGATCGATGGATTGGAGGAGCCATGTTATTTGGCTATATTGTATTCATTATCTTGGAGTTTACAGTCATTCACCATGTGACAGAATCACCATATATATCCTAGTTGAGCAGAAAGGAACGCTGAGCAAGCAGAACTATCATGGGATGAGTCTAGTTACTGATTGTCTGGATATCTGGATATCTGGATTGGTGTGCACTTGCTTATCATGTACATCTTAGAAATCAAGCCCTTGCGCATGCCGAGTCTATCTGGTGTATTTAATTAGGAGGCTTCGCAATGGTTTATATTCACAGAAATAAGTCCATGATATTTATATGTAGCCCTGATACGTATTTGTTGGCACAGTATCAGTCTGACAATGCTTGGGAGAGGCTCACGGCATATGTACCTCTTGCAGGGCATAATCCCTGCAGATCCTCACTGTAATCCGAGCCAAGCCCCAGGATACGTCAAGCATAGTAACAGAGACAGCCAATAATCATGTTCAAGGTCAACGAACAAATGAAGCTGCTATAGATTCATTGAAAAATTCCCTAAGGCCAATTTCCGACTACTGAAAACACCACCAAAGTCTGTTATGTTTCAATGGTTAGAATCCTCGAAACCTCAGCCATTGATTACATAACCCTGCAGGGCTGACCTGGGCTTGGCGTTTTCAACACAGCCTCAACAAGCAATAATGGCGTTTCAGCTCCCTCCCGCGACCTCTCAACCTCGATCTTCCCATCACCAAAATGTCCGATCCTCTGAGTGTCGCCGCTTCAATCGCAGGACTCATCTCAATCACAGTAGAGGCTGTCAAGTTCCTCAGTCCATATGTCTCAGCGGCTAAAGAGACCCCGCAGGTCGCGGCGCACGTCTACTCTGAAGTCCAGAGCACCCAGGTCATACTGATGGGACTTCAGAGCCTCACCAAGAACCTTGGGTCCGTGAAGGTTCAAAATGCCGCCCTGATTGGCGTGAATCAGGTAGTAGCGGTTCTCACGGATGGAGTTCTTCTTTACTCGGAGTTGCATAAGGAACTTCAGTCCTTGTGGACTAAAGACGGCGTGGAAAAAGTACCGCTGAGAGGCCGCTTACAGTGGGTTTGGAAGGAGAGTACATTTGTAACTCTTCTCAATAGGCTGCAGAGCTTCAAGAGCTCAATGACACTTGTATTGGTGATTCTGCAAAGGTGCGTTTATATCGTGCAATGACTGGGACAACATCTGATTCATTTGCAGTGACTCTGGCAAAACAGCAAAAGAGCACCAGGAGCAGCTCTCCAACAACGTCAAAGCTCTTCTAGACAATAACAATGCTCTGTCACGCCGGCTGATGAACATCGAGGATGCTTTGGATACCCAGACAATCATTTCCAGGCGCATGAGCATTCTCTCGATGAGCGGGTCTCCATCTCAAAACTCAAGTCAGCAATCAACTACGGAATCACCAGCTACATCAATCACGACTAAGACCAACCCTACTATATCTAAGTTTGACTTTGAAGATGATCTTGAGTCATCACGCGTATACCGCCGCGCAGTTAGAGAAACCATGGATTATTCATTCCGGAGCTCGGTCGCTAGATCACACAACTGGTCGGTCTTTTCAGGCCTGAGTCTCGGTGAAATTTCTATTATGTCTGTCATCGCATTGCCCGTGTATCAGGATGATATCACCAATGCTGAGCACTATGACTTCGGAGAAGAAGCTGTTCCTGATACTGAAACGCCAGGGCCAGTTACGGGCCAGCCTTTGTTGATACAATGCCTCGAGCTTAAACTTAAACTTCTCACGATACCGGGGATGTCTAGGTACTTTGATGACATACCTCATCCCCCTGACGATATATCTCTCCTCCGGTCAGTGCTTCAGCAAGCTACACCGCTGCTTATGCTTGCTCAGGCTTTGACCCCGACTCAAAGCTTAGATACCGGTCTACCTGAGGACATCACCGATGACACCAGGAAAGAAATAGTTTTATGGTTTGCCCAGTTCTGCCACGACAAGCTCGATATAGAAACGAGCAACCTGATTACAGTCCAGGATCTGATGGGAGGTACCCCGTATGGCACTTTTAAGGCAAGTTACACAGCAGCACCAAAGCAGCAGAAGTTCCTGACCGTGCTGTAGGTCGTCTTACTCATTTCAAGTATCACCAAGAACTTGGTAATCCATGGTCCTCCTACGGACCAGTTGTCTTCAGCCAAAGCTCAAGTCGACGCCCAGCCCCCAGAGCTTCGAAAGCTGCTCATGGAACAGCACCAATCCGTCCAGGATGTTCATGAACTCCTTGAGATGAAGGAACAACTCGACATGCTTTCGAACGACATATTTCAAGGGTCAAGAGAACTCGCAGACACACATGTCGCGTTTCTTATCGGGATGGAACAGAACTTTCTACGTCCCTTGACTGATCAGAAATGGGCTCCGGTATTTAACTATATTCTCAGATTTGTCAGCTATGAAGCTGCATTTTATGTCAACTATAGCAGTCACAGAGCCAGCATACAACTTTGGCTGAAACACGGGCATATCAGAGATAAAGGTAAAATAAGAGAATCATTGGCAAGATGCTTGTATCTCTTGCCCATGAGAGCCAAAAGAATTTCTATGCTTTTTGAATTCTCCGAGGTATGATCCAATTGAAACACGAACCCTAATACTTAGATACTAATATTATTTAGTACTTGAAGAGCCTGCCGGTTCCCACAGAAGAGCAGAAGAAGGATCGTAGCAAGTCTCAATATTCCATTTCGCGGATTGTTACTCGGCTACAGGATAATACCATATCTGTGAATACCCAATCGGCTGTTCAGGAGCTTCAACAAAAGATCGCGGACTGGAAGGGCATTCGTCCAGGTGATCTTGGGGAGATGATTCTCTCTCAGAGACTTTATGTGACAAAGAGTTCCAAAACTCACCCGGTAAGCCGCCTTAGCATGAAATCTTTTGTTGCGTCTGACGTAATTGCAATAGTATCACGGGTATCTTTTCCAGAACATGCTTCTCCTCTGCAAAGAGACTCGTGGTCAACATTCAAAAGAGCCATCGTTTTACGGGTCGAAGCCCTTATCCGAACAGAAGCAGACCAAGTTCATACTAAAGGGACGATTCCATCTGAGACATATACTATCGGTCACTCTGACCTCTAAGAAGAGTATGCATCCATCCTCTTCAGTTTTAACGCAATCACTCATACAAATAGACACACATATATGTGAGGTTCAATGGGGTGCTGAAAACAGCGACAAGTCAGAATTCTCACTTGTCTTTGAAAGAGAGTCTGAAATGCGAGCCTGGGCATCAAAGATCGATGAGTATAGAATGATGGAAATACTCATGGCAAGGCCAAAGATTGATGCAGAAGAGATAGATTCACCGACAGAAGGGAACACGAATGAATCTGTACCTGAAGATTTGACGGAACGAAGGGAGCGATGGAAGCGATATGGGGTAATAACATAGTCCATTGGTATGCTATAAGTATTATATGACGATCAATGACTACCATTAAATACCAACTTCCTCGAAGGTCACCGCATCAACGTCACCCTCAGCATTCTTACAGCTGAATCCAACAGAAACACTGAGATAGCCATACTGGTCCAGTTTGTCCTGCGAAAGTGAACAGATAATATCGAGAGATGCCCATTGATTCACAGCATCATCGGCGCTGACTGTGTTCGAGCCACCTATGACGGGCACAATGTTACTCGGGTCTCCATAGTAGCAGCCAACAGCCATTGCATTGCACCCGTCGGCGCGCTGGCTAACCGTGGCTTGGTCGACGCGGAGCCAAGCAGCGAGTTTATAGCTGCCTGCTTTGAGAAGCGACTTGTCGATCTTTTGGTAGACCCTGTTGTTGACTGACTCGTTGTCATCGGATTCTCCGAATTGAAGGCGGGCGTAGGCTGGACCTTCGTAGGGCGAGGAGGAGCCAAGCTGGATGGGGTCGGTGTCTGATAGCCAGGGGTTTACTGTTCCTAGATCGAAGTTGCCGTTGATGAAGAGTTCTGTTGGCTCTGCTTCGGCGGTTGTAGTGGTTGTAGCGGTCTCGACTACGGTCGTTGTGCCTTCGGTGGTGGTTGGCGCTGTAGTAGCCTCACTGCTGGTGACGAGTGTAGTGTCGCTGCTGCTGCCGACTGTCGCGCTCTCGCTTAAGACGGTAGTCGTTGATGCTTCTCTCACGGACTCGCTCATAGTTGTTCCATCCTGAGTCAGCGTGGTAGTTGCCTCTGTCTCAGTTGTAGCCTTAGTCTCGGTAGTTGCGATACTTGTCTCGATGGTAGCGGAAAGGGCAGTAGTAGTGTCGGATACAAAGGTGACGGAAGCAGTTTCAGTGGCAGATGTAGCGACACTCTGGTGCTTACAAGGCCCTGCATTAATAGAAGCTAGCAACGCCAGGTTTGCAAAGGCAGCCGCAATTAGTTTGTTGGAAACCATCTTGGCAGGCTTCAAAGGGAAAACGGAAACGACTGTGGTGGGTTTGTAAAAGTGAACCAAAAAGGAATTAACAACATGAGGTAAAACAGGGCATTCACCAGTTTTATTTCAGCAGACTGCGAGAAAGTGGCTCAGGGGCAACCAGATAACTATTGGCGACCTAGCCTGTGGCATTCGATAGCGCCCCGATAGCGTTGAGATCTCCCCTTGTGTGGACCAATGAGATTACCAGCTTCATGGCTGGCTTTATGATTGAAATAAGAAATTAACTTAAAAATCAAGCTTGCAATAGGTAGTGTTTACATCTTTGTTCGTATTCTACCTAGCTTTGCAGTTAATCATTGAACAGGGCGGAAGCTAATTAAAAGGATCTGCACGTTGGCATACCCACCATCTACCTGCTATCTTACTTGAGCTTCGCAGCTGAAGATACCACTCTAGTCCTTCATCACTTCACCAAATGATCCCTTGTAACCATTCTGCTCCAGGTACAGTCGGAATTGAGCATCTTCGCTCTCGAGTTCCTTGTCCTTATCTGGGATGAGAAACCACGCAACAAGACCACCTACAGCAGCAAAGGCAGCTCCAATGAGAAACACAGCCTGGATACCTTGCTGTTTATCGGAGAAAGAGTCCTGAATGGGCGAAAATACCTGTGTCCCAATTGCTGCACCAGCCTTTCCCACGGCTGCCGCGAAGCCTAAGAAGTGTCCTCGAAGAGGTGTTGGGAAAGACTCTGCAGCACATAGAAATGTGGCGACCTGTTTTGATGTCAGTAAATAGCCAAGCTGCGCTTCGATAGTTGGTACGTACGCCAGGACCCATCTCTCCGAGTGCGTTGAAGATGCCGTAAAGCACGATGAACAAAGGAAACACGGACTGGATCGGAGAAAGAGCACCACCAATAATGAAGCCCAGGATCGTCCATCCGAGAAAGCCCAGAGTCATGGTTTGTCTGCGGCCAATACGATCCATGAGAAGTCCTCCAACGACGCAGCCCGGGAGGTAAAAGCAGTTGACAACCGTACCAAAACCGATGTTCTGTTGAAGGGTATCCTTGGGATTCAAAGTAGCGATGATTGTCGAGCTGAAGATTCCGAAAGGGTATGTCTATAACCGGTATCAGTAAACTTGAGAAACCTAGACGTGGCACATTGGATCAACCGTGATACTCACCACAAAGTCATAGAAAAACCATGCCAGTGATGTTCCGAGCATTGGCTTCCAATATCTCTTGATCACAAGCAGGTATGGTATGTCCTGCTTGATCGCATGCTTCTTGTACTGCGTCGAATCGAACTGACGAAGTCGAAGGAATAGAAGTGCTACTGGTAGGATAAATCCAATACCGAAGTTGATACGCCAAACACCATCGCCAACATGTTGATGGTAAGCTGCGAGCACGATCAATGCGACTACACCTGCCATGACAAAACCAAGATCGATAGAAAAGTCTGTTGCAGCGGCGACCAGGAGTCCACGTCGGCGTCTCACAAACGAGGTCTCGTCTGAAGCTTCAGTACTTCCTGTACCACAAGTAGGATATTCACCTGCCGAAGCCATCAGTTTCATGTTTTCTCAAATCAAGTTCCATTTCTGCACTTACCACCAGCACCGAACCCTGCAACACCTCTCCCGACAATCATCATCCAAAACATGCCCAGCTCAGTCTTGCCATGCGCTGCAGTTGCAAGTATGATACCCAACACCAAAAACAAGGTAGCAAACACAATACCAGTCCGTCTGCCAAGTCTGTCAATGACATAGCCAAAGAAGAGCATCCCGAGGACCTCGCCGATGAGGAATGCATTGGAAAGTCGAGTCTTGATCGAGCTGGAGAAACTATCGGGGTATAACTTAGCAAAAACCGGATTCATGTATCCTATGATCTGCGCGTTGTATCCATCAGAGAATAGAGCCAGGCCACTTGTCAGGATTGCTGTGATGGCTGACGTGCGAGACTTGGTAGGGATTTCAACATCTGTGGTGTTAACATTGGTCTCGTTTTTGAAGGATTCATCGTCTTGGTTGCTCTTTGGAGCAGGCATCTCTGGAGAAGCCTTGCTATCCATGATAGTGATATTGAAGCGGATAGTAATGGAATGGTCTTTCTTAGAAGCCTCTGTCTGATAATATATTCGTGAAACTATTCAGATATTTATATATGAGTTAGACTAAGGATATTCTCGCTTTGCAACACCCTCCTTCTTGCCTAGTTTCAAACATTTCTGGTCAAAGACAGACTCTCGCGTGCCTTGATTATGGGACGTTATTGGATGTTCAGGTGAAATTCTTTATCTTGTTCAATAACCAGTTGCTCGGTTAGTGCACGTGGGCAGTGTTGCTAGATTTGGTTGGGGTTGATGAACTTCATAATGCCAAATAGTTGCCGATACTCCGAGGAGGGCTTGACGTCTACCCTCGTATGCGTTTCCATATTTTGGGACTGCAAAGCCTTCCTAATTCCCGTCTGGTCACACTAGGCTTTCGCTTTGGCCCTTTGGGTCTGATCCAAAGTGGGCCATACTACTGTAGCAAGTCGAATGCAGGGTCAAAACAGTATCAGTCTCGGTTACTCGGCATGCTACACTGTCATTTTTGTCTTTTTCTCTAGGTCCATGCTGTAATGGCCCTGTTTCATTGCTTGGGAAAAAATCCCGTAGTTGGAGACTAATGCAGCTAGTGAGCGATAGCCGACAGACCTCGATATCTTATCTCGAGCCGAGTAGCGAGCAACGCATGGATGAGAGCGAATGAGAATTAGCGTGGAGCTCACGAGACATATCATATCTTGTAACTTGGAGGCCAGAAGTTTTAGAATATCTCAAAAAATATAATTATCGATGATACCAAGTCAAACCGATCAATCCACTACATGCATCTGACAGCTCAAGGATTTGTTATTCCCATTCACACTTTGCTTATACTCATTAAGCATAACTTTTCAACATGGTGGTCACCGATGATCAGATCTACTTCTTTAAGAAGAACGGCTACCTAATTGTCCGCGACCTACTGCAGCCTGAGCAAGTCAAAGACCTACAATCATGGGCCGAGGAAGTTCGAAACTGGAAACCTACTGAAGATTCGGAATTCATGCCTTATGAGGTTTGAGATACCCTTCAATCAACTTGACTCAAGGGATAACAGCTAATATGGATCAGGAGGTCAATGACAAAGGCCAAAATGTTCTCTGTCGAACTGAGAACTTTGCCGATTGTCACAATGGATTCAGCAATCTGCTTCGAAGCCCAAAATTGCTTGGTCTTCTGAACGATCTTGCGGAGGAACCTATGCTTTTGTTTAAGGAGAAGATCAATTACAAGCTCTCTGGAAGCGGTAAGATGCTCTCTACTTAATCCGTTCATATCCTTGCCTGGAACTAATCATTCATAGGCGGATTCGCACCTCACATTGATGCTGTTGCTTATACGCACATCAAAGATGTCAAGCACTTGACAATTTTACTGAGCGTTGACCCCTCCAATATCCGCAATGGCGGGCTGGAAGTTGTGGATGGAAGCCATGAGATGAATGTTCCTATTAACAAGGCTACCAACTGCATTGAATCGACTTGGGTTGACTCTCAAACTTGGACTCCTGTTGAACTAGAAGCTGGTAAGTGGCCCATGTTCCGCATCTAGATTATCCTTACTGACCCATGCCAAGGCGAGCTGCTCGTCTTCACTTCCTACCTAGCTCATCGCAGTGGTGCCAACAAGAGTAGCTCAGACCGTAAGGCTATCTATGCAACTTACAATCGTGCTTGCGAGGGGGATCTGCGTCAGGGATACTACGAGCACAGGAAGCAGGAGTGGCCGGCTACGCATATGCGAAAGGCTGGGAAGTCTTATGAAGCGGGAGCGTTGACGTATGGCTTTGGATCACCTATGCTTAGTGTCGATGCTGGGAAGCAAGTCACATTTTAGTAACTATATCTTGTACAGACAAGGCCGGTTGTTATCCTGCTCGGTTTTAATTTACGTTTGTTTTTGAATGACATCTATTCCTCCAAGTCCTCTGTCCGATGCTCACTCCGATCATGCGTCGTGAAATTAAAGGCTGGACATATAGGGAGAACACTAAGTCGCAGTCCCTGATGCTACTTAGTAAATTCTGGTATCTTAACGCGATGACATACCTATGGGGCTTTGCCTGTAGGCCCATAACACCCTGAACAATGGTATCCACCGGATAATCGTATCAATGAGCTCGACGTTTTGCTACCCTGAAGATCTTAGCGCTGTCACAGCGTAGAGTGCGCTAAATGACAAACGGCTAGGTTGGTGCTAGACCTGTCTTACCCCACTCCAAGCGACAAGCGAGAGCCGACAGCCGAAAATCTTGAGAACTTCGCAGATACGGAACGCAGGGGCCATCATTGGCTCAAAATCCATTGATTAGGCATGGCCAATGCATAGGTCATGAATGGCCAGTCGACTTATTTATTTTCCACTATACCAACCTCGCAATTCAACGTATTGATCATCATCATTTGAAAATCTACACAGCCAACGCAGCCATGGAACTTCCAACAGTCCCAACGCCATCCTCCGTGGCTGAGTACGTTATATCTGTTCTCCAAGCCTCTGAAAACACGCCCTACATTGGAGAACCCATTTCTCAACTCCAACATTCTCTCCAGTGCGCGGCTCAAGCTGCCTCGGTTTCACCACCCGTGGATGAAGCCACTCAAATCGCCGCACTACTTCACGATATCGGTCAATATGCACCAGCCAAAGACCTGAGCAAACTCACCGGCGGAGAAGCCAAAAACCTAGGCGGACAAGCAGCGGGCACAAGCGTCGGTAGAGTCGGACACGAGACACTGGGTGCACAATTTGTTCGTGCGCTAGGCTTTTCTGAGAAGGTTGCGCGTCTGGTGGAATCACATGTTGCTGCTAAGCGGTATTTGTGTGTAGTGGATAAAGGGTATATGAGTAAGCTTTCAGATGCGAGTAAGAAGAGCCTTGGTTATCAGGGTGGACCGATGAGTGATCATGAGAGGGCTGAGTTTGGTGCTGATGAGTGGTGTAAGGAGATGTGCCAATTGAGGGTTTGGGACGATGAAGCCAAGATCGAGGGGCTTGAGGTCAGGGACTTGGAGAGCTGGAGACCGGTGTTGGAACGGCAATTAGAAGTAAGGAAGGGCAACATGATTTAGATATATAAGTTATATATATTTTATCCTTAGCAAGTATAACTTATGTACATGTGTAGATGCTCTGACGACACTGTACAGGTAAGATATAATTATGTCCTTTATACTTTGTTTTATTTATAAGATTACAGTAACAGATTAAGAAAGAAAATAAAGAGCCTAATATAATACTTAGCTAAAAGTATAAAGCTGTAAATTCTTATAAGTATTTCTAACTGCTTATATATGTTCTCCCTCTGACTTTATTGTGTGACTATAGAAAATCTATCTCTTTTCTTTATGTCTGTAGGGTACCTAGTCTTGTATTCTTGAGGCTATTCCAACCCAAAGTGGGGCAGTAAATGGCCAAGCAGTTGAGCAGATAAGATAAGGAAGCTTGCACATCGCTTAGAGTAAAGATCGTCGCTTGCAGATAAGCCCCGCAATTTGCACTTCTCCTCTGAGCCAATCAAGCACGCACATGGTTATCGTCTAAGGGCTGATCTGGGGCTTGCGAAATGTCACAACGCGCGGGCCGTGATGGGGAATGAATTGAATTGACGATATCATGACCTTCTCCATCTCGTTATGAGCACTGCAGCGGGATCTCGGTACGTAGCCGATCCGCATTGAGGTGATTTTAGTGTGATCTCCTTCGGTCCATTACGACGAGCGACAATCATGCAGACGACAAGGCACCATGGCTATCGTGGCCGGGTCCGGAGCGGCTGTCTTACTTGCCGAGCTCGCAAAGTCAAATGCGACGAGACCAAGCCCGTCTGTAATAACTGTACAAGATTACATCGCCAATGCACATACAAGCCCCGAAGAGTCTTCCGGGAGACTGCCAGCGCCGACAATTCGCCACCAGGTCAACCATCATTCCACTTCGGGGGAGCAGCTCAAGCATCGGAAGCGCATGATGTCAACCAATCCCACTCCAGCCCGTCGCTCACCGATGACTATGAAAACCAAGGGTCATCAAAGGTGCTCTCGAATGAGAGGACAAACCAAACTCCCTTCTTGTTCGAAGGCAGAACAAATGTAGACGTCACTGCCTGTTTACAAAAAGCTCTTCAACACCGAAGTGCAATTACTATCGTGGATGACAGCTACGAGCGCGACGAATCCCCACTGAACCTGATATCACGGGATATCGAGTTGACCACGACACTCGATATCCTCACTCTACGTACACACTCACCCTACATGACAGAACTCTTCCTCGATACAGTGGAATGCCCTGGTATCACACCATTCGATCCCCTCAACTGGAACCGCGCCAAGGATCATATTGTACATCTGGGAAAGTCATGTCTAGCTATTTCTTCCGGCATAACAGCTGTCGCAACTCTATGCAGTGGACAGGTATTCTCCCTTTCCACATCTGAGTCACTCTCTCACTATCAGTCCGCGAGGAAGAATGTCGAAGAGTTGTTGGGAGATGACGATAAAGACTTTGAGCTTGTTCTGGCAGCTGTCTTTCTGTTGTGTATTTTTGAGCTGATTTACTCTGGAGATATCACACCTTACCTGAGAGAACCGAGCCGAATCTTCATACGAAGACTAGAAGCTTGGGTACAGACTCAAACTTCTTACTCGGAGCTTTGCACACGCATAGTCACGTGGCTGAAAATTCTTTACTCGGCTTCCTTTCGAGGTGGAGCCATGGGCCTGCTATCTGAAAGGGTAGTCAGCCTTCTCCCCAAGTTCAGTGGCCCAATACCGAACCTCCGACCTCGTATCGACCAAGAGACAGAATTATCCAATCATCTATACGAGGTCTTGAGCGCTCCCATCTTTGACTTTTACTGCCAACTTCAAACTCTATCTGGAGAGATTGCCAAACTTTCACTTTATCATCGATCGCGCACGAAACGCAAAGACCAACAGGAAGTAGTCGAACGAATGGCGTGTCTAAAAATCCGACTTCGGGCACTATGGGAAGCTCGGTGCGCTACGCAGCGTCAGTCTCCGGAGCATCTGCGCTCCCAAATTGTTCCCAGGATCGCAGACATGATTTCGAGTCTTATCAGTATTTGTGAGGCCGCGTTTCATGCCGAGTTCATCGACATCGGCAGACAGCTCGGCGATCCTGTATCTCAATCTCCACATTCCACAGAAGCATTGGGCAGGATTAAGGAGATTCTGGAGGGAGATTGCAGTGACAATGAGGAGGGTAAGGCAAGAGGAATCAACCCTGGGTACTTGAGACCGTTGTTTCTATGTGCTATAGAGAGTACAGATAAGGAACAGACCAGCTGGGCCGTGGAGAAGCTGGCTGGGATCCAGAATCATGTCTATCGTGGAGAGTTTTTCTTGGCATTTGCGAAGGCACTTTCAGAAGCACAAACGCGTCATGACAGAAGGGTAACTTCGAGGTATTTCTGCATCTGGTATTTTGGAACCGCACCACCATTCCTATAGGAATAGCCCTAGCAATATAGCGCATCAACTCATGAAATTCGGTAGTCCCTGTAGGTACTCACTAGCCCGATATAAGCTATCTGATTAGTCAGGATATCAATAAGAATCTAACAGCTAGTTAAATAGCCTTATTGGTCAAATAAACGAAGTGGCTTTGCCTAGCGTGTACCTACAGGGACTACCGAATTTTATGAGTTGATGCGGTACAAGGATGAAAGTACGAACTTGAGCATATCTGGTAGATATCTTGTGAACACACTACGCTAAATTGGCTAAGAGCTTACACCCCTACATCGAACTTCTTACAGATGGAGCAAAGTGCCAGTAGTAGGAGATGAATGTAGGGAACTAGCATAACTTAAATGGATCGTATCACGTCACCCTTCCGCTTTCAGTGCCCTTGCATCCTTTGAAATTAAAATCTCGTAAAAGACTGAGCGATTTTAACAATTGCGCCTTCTCCTATTCAATGGTATTCGCGTCTCCATGCCTCGGCAGCAAAAAGCCGACTCTAGACCACTAACTAAGTTAAAACTCAAAATAGGGTCCACGAGGTAAACCTGTAGAGTCTCGGTGCCTCCTTTTGAATTGCTTTCAACACTACCCAAAAGTTCAGCAATGCAAGAATTGACGATGCATCGGTGAAACGGTCGCAACGGCTGTGGCGGATGGCTTTTCTGAAGCGTTGTGGCTTTAGCTCAGTCTGTTTTCAACGTGATATCTGTCTTGAAGCGGCGTTAACGGCACTGATTGAGCGCTATGGTAGAACTGTGACTGATATGATTGGGCGAGTATGTTACGCTGCCCGAGAAAGTGACGTGTTACCATTCCAGACATGTTTAGCTCTCTATGGAATATTGAATTCCAGTCGATGGACGGTTACGGAGCACCCATTCAGCAGTTGTTTAAGTTAGCCACTATACAGACTATACCCTTTTCAGAAGGGTTGACAAGATCCACCGCCCCGGTTGACTGTAAGACATTGGGATTAGCGGCAGCAGAGTTGGAAAGCTTAACATGTAGCTCCAAGAAAATCCATTCAAGATATGACGAAAAATGGAAAACAATAAGGAATGTTGTGCAATTAGATTGAATATGAAAGGTAGAGAAGTTTTAATAAATATATATAGCAATATCGCGTCCCCGAATGTTAAGATTTCTTTTCGTAGTAGATTGTGCTTGTCCTTCGTTTTACCCTCTAGTACCACCACTACCCCCTACGTTCGCTACCATATAATCACCAATGCGTGTCTCTCCCCTTCTCCTCCTGGGCCTTGGCCTGGGAGTCATTAGTCAGACGACTACAAGTACTGAGTCGAGCACCTCGTCTTCCTCGGTCAGCTCGACTAGCTCGTCAGCATCTAGCTCCAGCTCTGCCGAAAGTTCGTCCACCTCATCTTCTGCCAGCTCATCCAGCTTGTCTTCTGCCAGCTCATCTTCGTCTTCCCAGTCCAGCTCTGCTAGCTCGTCTTCTGACAGCTCAAGCTCCGCTAGCTCCACCTCCAGTGCCCCAACTTCCTCAGTCACTATCAGCACCAGCACCAGCGCCAGTTCCGCCAGCTCGTCATCTAGCAGCTCAAGCCCCACCAGTTCATCCTCTGCTAGCTCATCTTCTATTAGCAGCTCCTCTGCTTCTGAAAGCTCTAGCTCTACTGCTAGCTCTTCTGTCAGCTCTTCTGCCAGCAGCTCCTCTACTTCTGAAAGCTCTAGCTCTACCGCCAGCTCTACTGTCAGCTCTTCTGTCAGCAGCTCCTCTGCTTCTGAAAGCTCTGGCTCTTCTGAACAGGCTACAAGCTCTGGACTGACCAGCTCTGTCTCTGTCTCTGTCTCTAGCTCTACTACCACTGTTTCCTCATCTACTACTACAGATACCTCTGCTCAAGTTAGTGACTCTACTACTGAGTCTAGCTCTACTGAGGTTAGTAGCTCTGCTGAAGGAACTGGCTCTGCTGTTACCACAACCTCTGCTGAGGAGACTAGCTCTGCTGAAATCACTACCTCTGCTGAGGAGACTAGCTCTGCTGAAATCACTACCTCTGCTGAGGAGACTAGCTCTGCTGAAATCACTACCTCTGCTGAGGAGACTAGCTCTGCTGAAATCACTACCTCTGCTGAGGAGACTAGCTCTGCTGAAATCACTACCTCTGCTGGGAGACTAGCTCTGCTGAGGAAGGAGACTAGCTCTGCTGAGGAGACTACCTCTGCTGACATCACTACCTCTGCCGAGGAGACTACCTCTGCCGAGGAGACTGCCTTTACCACTACTGAGCCTAGCTCTACTGAGGATACCGGCTCTGTTACCACCACTGAGTCTGCTACTTCCACTGCCACTCCCATCGCCTCTCAGTCCGTCTCCTTTGAGGGTGCTTCTTATGGTGCTGGTTCTTCTCCCGAGACCAACTCCGATGGCCAGGTCGTTGCTGTTAAGATGGTCGCTGGCGCCAACGGCCAGGCTGAGTTCAGTGTCTCCACCGATGCCAATGCCACTCCCGCTGGTGACTCTACCGTTGTCACCTTCTCTTACACTGTCAGTGCCTTTGCCAAGCGCATGCGCATAATGAAGCGTGCCTTCGAGGGTTGCACACTTACCATCACTGTTGATGGAAACGAGGTTTACTCTGGACCTGTTGAGGCTGGTGCCGGTACTTACAGCAAGAGCTCTCAGCCTTTCGCTCTTGAGCAGAACCCCAACATCAAGTTCGTCCAGACTTGCGGCACTGACCCCGTGAACCTGACTGTCAAGAAGATTGGGCTGGTGACATTCGCTGGTGTTGCTACTACTAGTGTTGAGTCTGGTTCGGCTACCGAGACTGGCTCTGCTACCGAGACTGAGACTGGCTCTGCCACTGAGACTGGCTCTGCTACTGAGTCTGAGACTGCTACTGAGACTGAGACTGGCTCTGCTACTGAG